AAATTGGGAAAAAAATAAAGAGACTTGAAGTATTAATAACAAAATTTTTTAAATATTTCTATCTCAATTACATATTCTATATTTATCAAGTGATTTATTTAAAAAAAATTTAGTTTAGTCAATAAAAAAACGTTGATTACAATTTTTTTTAAAGAATATTTATTTAGTTTTATTGTTCTATTATATGGTGCATCTAAAATTTGACAATATTACTTTTTTTTGTTTGAAAATTGTGATCTGAATTTTCCAGTTGAGCTCATATTTAAAATTTATTTCAATGATAAGTGATTCTATTTATCAAACTGAGGGAAACGTTATATTTTTTTAATTTGAAACATTTCAATTATATTTATATACAGAATTAAATATATTAAATATACCATTTATCATTAACCATATTCAAAAAAATTTGAATCAGGTAAAATTACTGAACTAAACTCAGTAAAATCTAACACAATGTTTTATAAATCTAAGCATGCAGCAAGAGTAGGGAAAATAAATGATACAATATGGTCAATAGGCTTGTCATAGAGAATAAATTTATATATTTATGTAAATTTATGAATTTTCGAGTTGATTATTATATCAAATTATATCTCATTTAGTTGTGATTCAGGTGATAAAAATTAGAGTAGAATTAATGAATATTAAACATATTTCTTTCAAACATAATATGCTGGAGGAAAAATTAAGCGGGTTAAGATTGATGTTAAATGATATTTTTACCAAAACGATTCATTTAATGGAATTTTGAAAAAATATGTACAATATTGTAGATGGTGTATATAGGTAGATTGAGTCAGCAATTATGTTTTCTCTATATAATTAATTCATTTTATGCTATATAAATATAATGTTACTCCTAGTTTACTTTGATGTAGAGAATGATTGACGCTAGATTCATTTCTTGTAACTTCTTAAGTTTAGTATTACAAATAATAAAGTCTAGGCATTTTTAAATTATGAAACAGGAGGGAGATTTGTGAGAGATGATTAAGATCTTATTCTCAACTTAATCGAATCGACTACAACACTCGTCACACACTCGAGAATCTTCAGGTAGATATGTCACATACTTGTGCCATCTCTGTGGCCGGAAGACATGCATCTTTCGTCGCACTCCTAGCACCATCAAGCTTCTCGCTACAACGACACAATGCTTGAGCCCTTAGGGCACGCAAGGCTGCAATCTTGTCTCCATCGCAACGAGAAGCTTGTGTCGCTTCCTGACGACCTACCTTGGGCAAAGACCGTAGGCCTGTCACTGGTTGCCATGACACTCGCCCGACATCACCGTCACCGTCCACACCCTTCGAGTCAATTCACTACACGCACATCATCACACCATCTAGAACCTTAGTCAGTTCACTGTGCCTGCCTCAATGAAGTACGGTCGAGCATGTCAAGTGCACCAATGTCCAACTTCCAATAATCACCTCACAGTCGCTCTCTCGAGCATGGAGGCCGAGTACCTCGAGGGAGGCCATCTGGCTTCGTGACTCTTCGTTGAACTTGGAATTAGCCCATGCACTGCCACTATATTCCAAGTGACAATCAAGCCGCCATCGTCTGCTCTCACGACAATCAATTTCATGTTAGCTCGAAGCCTGCAGATATTCGGCACCACTTCATCCGCGAATGCAGCGAGGAGCTCATAAGGGAGCGCTGAAAATTACAGCAGAAAGGGCGGAAGCCCCCTCAAGCCGTGCATGGTCCAATGCAAACAAGTGCCATGGGTTAGTCCCCTATAAAGATAGAAAAGTGAAATATTTCATACTGTAATTCATGCATTTCTATTGTTTCACTAATAGAATTGGAAAATGTACATGATTAATCCCCAATCAACGGTCTTATTCTAAAATAATTACTAGGAATATATTTATTATTTACACTAATCTCGTTTGTACAAAAGTTTATAGAAATGGACAATGGCACATTTAGGATATTCTCTCGTAGCTTCAAGATTAGATGTAAGAGACAATTTTTGTTGCTTTCAGAAATCAATTGTCATCATTCCAAATGTTTTCATAATCTCAAGTCCGTCATCTCATGCTATTGAATTTAATATACACTCGGTGTAAACAATAAACCATTTCTGTTCATTTGTAAAATTAGGGTTTTAGGATTTTAAAATTAACGAAATTAAATGCCATTGTGCGGAATAGTACATAATAAAATCAATATCCATGACCAAGGGTAGACAGGGGAGTACAGTACGAGGATCGGTAAATCTAAGAGTAAGTGTAATGATGAATGATCCACTAAGAATTCATGACGAAGGTTGACCAGTGCGATACATAGGACAGCTGCATCTACTTGCTAACGAAGACTCTTGCCAAGCCTAGTCGTCACCGCTTGCTCTTCTTTGACAACCTGTTCCTTTGTTGTGGGGTGGGGGAGTGTTGTTATCTCCGAGGCGCAGGTAGTGATGCACCATTTGGAGCACGTAGATTCCGGTGAATGCTAACACATGGAAGGCATATACATCTCCGGGTGATGGAATTTGATTTATTGATAATGCATTCAGTTTTCTTATCTGTTCTTCTCATAATCCCAGCCCATGTACTTTGCTTGTATTCAAAGTATAGTCTATCACTCTATAATGATCTAACGTTCACACACAAGTTGATGCGTTATTCTTCCACACGGTCTACAGCAATGATATTGCAGCAAAAGACTGTTGTTACTTGCGGTGGTACTCCGCAAATGTTTTTAATTAATTTTGTGCTTATTTTCGGGTTAATATATTTGTAATAAAATTTTGTACAAATTGTTTCTGTTCATGCCTTAAGCCAAATTTCTCATTATAAACTCATCTTAGACGAATGTTTGTATAAACCAGCCATATCCCAAACTTGAAGATGAGTGTTATATTAGTACACATTCCGATGTATCCAAGTATAGGAATGTCATCATACATTCGGGAGTCAGAACTTGAATGTAGCATCGTTTAAACATTTTTTTGAAATTTTTGGTTTTTTGGGATGAATGAAATCTTCGGTGCGCGATTCAAATGACTGGCACGGTGTATGGAAACTGCTTTCCTAACATAGTCAGCTCTCACTGTGATGCGGCTGCGGTCTTCAGTCACTAGTTACAGTGACATGCGGGTTACAGTGACACTCCTGGTCGCAGAGACCAAACGCGCAAAGATGGACAACATGGAGTTCAGGTACTATAGGTCGGTGCGGAGTCAAACCACGGGTACGAAGGACCCATTGGCTTGCCAGGTTTGGTGTTCAACTGTAATATGTCCAATTAAAACCCCAATTAGACGTGAGCGAATTGCAGCCGAGTCGTAGACAAAATTAAGATCATGCTGATTGCCGGTGTGATGATTACTTTCAGGTTGAGCGGTTTTCTTGCTTGCTCGAAGAATGTTCTATCTCAGTGATCAATTTTCATCTGAACGTTTTGTTCTGCAAAAAAGTGACAAGTTTTGTTCGTCTGGAGTGGAATCCAATATCATGGGTGTTGATATACTTGACACACACGTAACGTATATGCAGTAGTCATCCTGAGTGAACCTAAATTCGGATCAAGTAAATACGACCACATAGAAAGGCTATCGTAGCTTAACGGTATGGTCTCAATTAGAAATATTTGGTATAAACTTCGTAGACAGAATATGCCAGCCAGCTTGGGATGAATGTTGAACAACTCCAGCGACATCGTTAAGATATACATAGATGGACTGACTTTTTTTTCAATTATTTTTTCTTCCTGGCTTTTTACAAACATCTGAATTATCAACCTATCTTCTTTACATCTTACACTGGCTTAACAACAACTGCACTAGTTTACGTCAACTCACACAACAGTGGCTAATATTTTCCTTGCTTGTTTGCGTGTTTGGCCCTGATCATCATTAACGCTTTCAGGGGACGATTGAGCAAAAGCACAGTTTATTGACAAGTTTACTTTGACCAAGAGCTTCTTAGCGAACTTCCAAGCTACAAGCATTGATTTTAGTTGTTTATCACTTCTAGTCCGCGAGGATAAGTTGATGCTTGAGTCTGCATAAAGACTGTTCTGTATAATATAATTCTGTCAGTATAAGCAGATCCTAGATAAAAAGCAGGCTTATTGTATAAGGACATCGCACTGGGAATGTCGGACGAGATAATCCCATTGATGTCTTCAGTAACGAGAGTCCATATAGGAGAAACTTCAGACTTGAAAATCACAAAAGGTGAAATTGTTTGAGAATAGGTCATCGTCAATACATATATATCTGTCTATAAGTATGTAGGTGAAGTATTCGTTGGACCAACTGCTTCCCGAAATGTCTTTGAAGAGTCTATACGAACTAAACTGTGCTTTTACTTCCAATATACATTTATTTTATACATACAAGCCTCTTGTGACCGCCAAGTAGTTCGATATCAACCTAGTAAACCACGCAAGCAAAAGGCAAGTGGGACGGAGGTTGTCATGAAATACTGGTATCTACCGTAAGTTGGTTTGATTGCATCCCTGTACGGCTAGATGGGGTCTTCCCAGCATCCTCTGTGCAAATATTACTCGGAGCCCCCGCTCTACTGTAAGTTCGAGGAAGCCACCCTCTGAAGACTCGGCCACGCAGCTCCTGCAAGAGGGTGATGTAATTTTGTTCTTGCGCACAAAGTCCATCCATGGAAGACGAAATGAAGATGGATAGGAAGATTCATTTCTAGAGGAATCATTCGCAAACGGTCAGTAATGAGATCCCCCCCTCACAACACTAATATGCCCTCTTTGACTGATGATACACTTGACTTATGTACCGAGCGAGCACCAGACTAGGCCTCGTAGGGGGGCTTGTCAACACATGGAGGGAAAAGACAGCAATACGGAACCGGACAAGCAGAGGATCTAAGGACCATGCTCGGCCCACAGATCAAGAAAATTAATCACAGTGGGATACAGGGTTCACGTCTTAAGCAGGCGACGATTAGTCCACTAATCAGCCAATAAGCAGCCAGACTGGCGAAATCAGAATCTAAAAATAGCTCCGGCGAAATCACCCGCTCGGCCTCCTCGGAATGCCAGCCCAGTGGTGCCCATTTCCGGGCGCTGTAAAAAGGACTCCACAGGGGGCCGGGATTTTCTCCCCTCGCGATCGCCGTCGAATCGCCCCATCGGACGGCTACCGGAGAGGAGAAGAAGGTGATGGACATTCCGCTGCCCCCTCCTTGCGGCCGGAGGAGTAAAACGCCCGGCCCGCGCACATTTCCGTCTTTCGTTAGCTTCGCGCTGCGCTCTCTTCTGGTGCGCTGTGAAGGCGCTCCCGTCGTCTGCTGCTGCCGCTGCCACTGCCACTGCCACTGCCCTCCTCGCCCCGCCCCGCGCCTCGCTCCTTCCTCGAGTCATTCATTCATTCATTCCCTTCCCTTCGTGTGCTGCTAATCTGTTCGTCCTCGCCTTGCGTCTCGTCTCGTCTCGTCTCGTCTCGTCTCTTCTCTTCTCTTCTCTCTTTGATCACTCCTCCTCCTCCTCCCTATTCCCTTCCTTTCCTTGGCTGTTCGGGTTTCGAGGGCTCTGCCGCTGTTACGACGGTCGACAGCTTTCGACGAGCTCGTATTCGTCGGCCGACTCACTCCATAGCCAGCGAGCCAGTTAGCCATCAGACTGCGTCGGTGTGTGCTCTGTGTGCCTGGCCTGTTGATGTTGATGTTGTTGTTGGTGCTGCTTTGTGGCACGAGTTCGGAGGTCGTGTCGAGGAATTTTGGTTTTAATCCGCGCGGATAGGAGAGGAGAAGAATCGCTGGGAATCGAGCTCGCGGGAGTTGAGGAAAGGTGGGTGGGGAGTGATCTTGCTGCCTGCTTTCTTGGCCTCGGCGATTGGGCGAATTGGAGGGGGGGAGTGATAGTTTTGCGTGATCTTTTTTCTGTTTGCTTTGACCGCGGAGGAGTCGGTAGAGGTCTTTTTTGGGATTTTTTTCTATTTTGGGTAGTTCGGGTAAGGCTTTTTGGGTTTGTAGAGTAGCCAGGAGATTGTCTCGCTTTCCGTTTCTGTGCTTTTCGCGCATGATCTGTCGTAGCAATGGGGCGTGGAATTTGGTTGGTGTGTTTCGGGATAGTGGGTTTTTAGGGTTGAAGGAATGCGGATGCGGGGCGTTTTGGCTCTATAACGGCCGTGAATGTTCTGGGCCTGCGGGAGTTTTGACTTCAATCTAGGTCGACGGAGCCATTGCCTCATTGCGCAGACTTCCTACATGGTCGTCGTCCTCTTCCTGCGTTGGCGCTAGGATAGTTAGAAAGTGTAGAAAGCGCGCGCCTGGCAACACAGTGGTTCTTCTCGTGTCCTCTTTTCGTGGTCTGGCTATCCTTATTTAGAAGGGCCTCACGGGATCGGCTGAAATAGCGGCCCATTTCGCATGTCTTGTACGTCGTGGCATGCCATTGGCGTGGAGGGAGATGATTATCAGCTGCCTGTGCATCTTAACTCAAATGCGCAACTGTAGTTTGACAATTTTCTGAGGTGGTGTTCACTCTAATAAATTGGTAGTTCTGTTCGTGGAGACGGGAGAAAGGAGAGAGGCGCGCAGGGTTCATGAATCCGGTTACCCTGTCGTCTAAATCCTCTATCTCTCTTTCTCTCTCTGTCTCTGTCATTTCGCAGCTCGAGACGACGGCCAATCGAGAATCAGTACAGCAGCTGTCGGCTTCTGTTTCGGTATCGCTGGTCGTTCCACTCTATATACTGTTTGGAGAAGCTAGTGAGTGAGATTAAGGCCCGAGGACGGGCGGTGTATTGGCTTAGCGCAGGCCGAGGCCGAGGCCCAGGAGGAGGAGGAGGAGGAGAAGAAGAAGAAGAAGAAGCGGAAGAATGAGAGGTTGATTCGAAGCGAACCGAACTATACTCAAGGTCAGGGCAAGAAAGCGAAGTCTTCAAGACACGTTCTTCCATTTACCTAGGGTTTACAGGGCAGGTCATCGAGAGAGGGAGAGCGAGGTGAGGCTGGGACCGAATGCCATTAGCTCTGAAGATCGGCGTATGGAGGGGAAATCGAGGTCGCGCACGTCGATTTGGGTATGCTGAGTAATTCAGGATATCCACTTCTGTGGAATGCGCGTCCCAAGAGGATCTATGAGCAGAGCGTCCCATTGTTGAGGATTTGTCGGCATCAACACTCGAATCGGAGCCCTTGTGCGATTCGTTGTCGTTGGGTATAACAGAAGAAATCTTACCGCAAAGACGGGAAGATCATCTAGGTCTAGGTCAATTGGCTCGGGTTGCGCAGCGGAGCGAATTGGTCCGTCCGTCTGTTTGTTCGTACGGAGTGTTAGGCGCTGGATTCAGTCGCGCACTGCCCTGTTACGATTCTGGGTTGTCTCACAAGCATGGATCACATGTTACAACACGGCGAGTGCAAGTAAACGTGATGGCTGGGAGATCCAAGGTTCAGCCTCGTCATAAGGCGTGTTTATCAGAGACATCTTGCACGTTCCGACTGCCCATGGGAGTACGCATGGAGCTCGTGAATTGACCTGCTTATATTCTTGTTAGGGTGGTGGCTGTGACGGGGACGATTTCTTGGACATTGCATCTTGGGTTTGCGGGGACGGAGGTGTCAACTGCGAGTCAGAAACGAGTTTAGAGGCTTGTTGTCTACAGTAGGATAGAACAGGCACAACAAGCTGTGCGAGAGAGGGAGAGAGAGAAGGGAAACTCATGCGTGGCAATCTCAGTTCGGGTAATGCCCCTGACCAGCTCTGCCGTGGATGCGTTTGGAGTTGTGACCCTGGTACTTGTCATTCTGTTGTGCCTGGTGGGAGTATTTTGTGTGGCCTACGTCCTCTACTTCCGGTCGAAGATACGAAAGGAACAACTCGTTGCGTTGCGTGACTTCAACTCATTATGGATAGTGCGCATCATTCTCATTGTGTTTGCGATCCTCTGGGGTCTGGGGGAGCTACTTCGACTCCCCCTGCTGAGGAGAGAAGGATGGCTGCTGCACTCCCTCAGTTTTCAATGGCAGGCGAACATGTGCAGAGCTTACATCTTAATATCTCTTGGATTTTTGGAGCCTTGCTATTTTCTTACTGCTCTCTTTTTGGTTCACGGCTCCTTGCGGAACGCACCTTTTACTCCAAGAAAGAGCTGGAATGGCAAGGTGATTGGTCTCATTTTGATCTTCTGTCTGCCTGTATTTCTTCTTCAGCTCTTTCTCGTTGTCATCAGTCCTAGCTTTGAATTCCGCAATGGATATAATGAGAAGAACGAAGGATACGGGAAGCTACCGAAGTACTTCACGAGAACCTTCGAGGACATGGGATCTTCTCAGGAGGAGGAACATGTTGCTGTGTGCACTTACCCACTTTTGAGCACGTTGGTCCTCGCCCTCTTTGGTTGCTTCTACATCATATACTTCCTGTATCTAGGGTGGAGGTTATTTTCGTTGGTCATCAACAGGAGGCTTCAGCTTCGAGTTTACGGCCTTGTGTTGGCGGTGGTTTTCCTCCTACCTGTTCACGTTCTCTTCCTGGGCTTCTCTGTGTTGTCCAGGCCTAGTGAACCTGTCTTTGAGGCTATGGGTTTCATGGGGTTCCTTACTGTGCTCCTGTGTACAACTGTTGGAGAAGGGATTCTAGTAATCAGACCTATTGCCGATGCGCTCGCGGTGCGGTGGGTTTTCGAAAGTGCTGAAAAGAAAAGAAGGCATGCAATTGAGGAAGTGTCAGCAGAGCCGCTTCTTGTATCACTGTCTTCTTTATCTGTCTTTGGAACCGACAGAGATGACGCAGCCTTACTTGCCAGGCAGAGTCTCCTTAGAGAAGCAGTGAGTAATGTAGATCGAGATTCAGATCCCGCGATGAAGGAGGTTTCTTTGGTACCGATGGGAAATTCCAGAAGTTACCCCGAAAGAAACGGAATTCTCATTTCACCCCCAGATTCCCCTGCACTGCCTGGGAAACCCTTTGTGTCCCACAATCTCCATTCTCTAGTCTAGTGGAGGAAACTGTGGGAAGAGTTGTGGAGGGTGCAATATTTGGCTGATGGTTTGTTACAAGAGTTTTGAGATTTTATTAGCTCTGAACTCTCAACGGCCACTTTGCCCCCTACTGATTTGAAGTATATGTGTGCTAGTTAGGAAGCTCAGTGAGTACATTTGTCCTTAGGTTGGTGCATAAAAGAGAATCTGGTCATCTTTGGTGCGCTCGAGTTGCAACAGGTTGTAGATTATTGTTTGACCCAAACGGAAGTACACGCATTTGTTGGAGAATTGTACCGATACTAGAAGAATCATTTTCACTCCATTCACTTCAAAGAAAGTTAGTCATTATCAATCACTCTTCATTGTGCAGTAAAAGATGTATTCTTTTATCCATGTCTGTTGCCTTTTGGTTGTTTAGATTGTCTTTCAATCCGATATTGGTGTCTTACGCTATCACTTTTTGAAGTTTCATTCATGTTGATAACTTGTAGCAGGATCAAAAGCATCGACACGACTGCTAGATGTCGTGTCGTTCACTTGTGACTGCTGGTAACATTGGCAAGTGGCAGCTGGCGAATGGACATGCTGTTCCTTATCTAGACGCACATACATAGTGCAGACTATTTCTTTCTGGGTCTGAGAAACTCCTCAATCTACCCACAGATTTGGGCTCGTTGTCTGGAGATGAGTTTGCGTTTCTCCTTTATCAGTTATTACGTCACTATTTTTGAAGAGATAACAGTGTATAATGTAAGCACTGCGAAGCACCTCCCAAGTTCCCTTGGGTCGTCCTCGGCTATTTTAACTTGGGGCAGTGAGAAAAATGAACTGTCTTGTCAGTGTTTCCAGATTTTGTGTGTCGGTTTATGGACGATGTCATTTTTGACATAAAGATTCTACGTTTCGCAAATGTCATTTGATTTTTGAATAAATTCTGAAATGACATTTGAAGGAGTAAATCAGAAACTAGTAAACGAATGTGGGTCTGACTCCCCTGAAAGTGTGTTCTAACTGGAGGGAAGCTAGGTTATGCCATTGTCAGATTAGCGCAAATGTTGGATCAGTACAGCTTGTCGGTACTGTATACCACTACAGGGAACATATGAAATATCAAATTGGTCTCAGTTGAAGTGGTGGCAGTTTCTCCGGTAAAGACTGTCTGAATAAGATTACCTCATTTGATAAATTTCTTTCTGTTGGTATGGACTCCGGCTGGTCAGAACTTTATACGCCGTGAATCGATATCCAGAAGTTGCAAAAATTTGTAGCCTTCCATAAGTAGTATCTTTCTTTGGAATTCTGAGGTCTAGGTGCTTATTGTTGCACCTCCCGCTTTTCTCTCTCTCTCTCTAGTACTCACACACACACAATGGGTAAACCCAAGTTCTCCTGTATTCGAGCTTGAAGTATCATCAGGACTTACTAGTTATGCTCTATAGCACAACAAACATGAAAACTTCTGGATGATCTCAATGCAACTAACACTTCACCCACGCTAGACATAAACTATAAATTAGACCTTAAACTTGTTGAAATAATTCAAATCAACACGCAATGTGACCTTGTCTGCCTGTTGCATCTTCCTATGACACACGCGCATTGCTATTTGACATTAGCAACCGATAGTTGTGTACATTTACTTTCACTTCTTTTCGAATGGATCAACATCAAACCATTTGCCTCGATCGCTCAGCCTCCAATTTGTTTGCGTCCTCCTTCCCATTGCATTCTAGCGGGGTTATAATCACCATTATGAGGTTCACTTACCGTCTCACTAAAGATTCCATCCATACGTCCCATCTCAATCAGCAATATTCAAACTGAAACTAACTCCTTGTCCAGTTTTTGGCAAATGTAACCGTGAAATGCAAAACGACTCCCTCCATCACCTTTGAGTTTTAAATTAGCCTTTAATGTCTTTGGTACTGCGCTCCTGGATTTAACCACCACCTTCATCTTCCGTTACCTGATGGCTTGATATCAAGTTACTTCAAAATAATATTTCTCTGAGTGGTCCCCACCTATTCTTCTTGTCATTATTTAATCTCCTCAATTTTCCGCAAGATTTTGTCAAGTTATTCCAAACCACTAGCCCTTCTCCCTAGGAAGACCACCCCATTCGTAAATACATGTATGAACAACAAAAATATACACCACTCCCCTCTTCATGATGTGGAACTTCCCCGCAGTTGTTTCAACATTTTGAGCAATAATCTCTCAGATTCACTTTGATTGAGCATCCTACGAAGCCCTCCTCTCACCTTAAGAACAATCATCTAGATGACGTAAATATAACGTCAAATCGTAAAAATAGCTAGTATATAATATGTATAATCTTCCTTTTAAAGTAGTCCTTGATGAATTCAGTAATAACCTCCTTCCAGGATCAAAACATTAAACTTGTCAAAGTTGAAATATGAATATAGCGTGGACTTATCTTTCTCAATCAATGTCATCATTCACTTTGGCTTAATCTATTCCCAGCATTTCTTCCACACAAGTACAATCTACGTATTTGGATGGCTATTACTCCTATTGACTCGCAACCTTCTAAATTCAAACCTTCTCATGCAACTCCTTGCACATATAGTCCCTTCGCCATCTTAGTCAATCGCCCACAAGGTGCTCATTTTAATTATTTATTCCATTGTCAAATCTAACATTCAGATTAACAAATCCTGTAGTCTTGTATAATAGTTAGTTATTCATAATCGCATCTTGTACGTGGATGCCAATCAATTACACTCCCGAGCTCCTGAGCAAAATGACGTTCGTTTTTTCACCGTGTAGAAATGCTTGTTAACCGTGGCAAACTTACTCACAAATATACCACAAGCTTGTAACTGAAATGTCTCTTCTTGATAAACGTTACGGTAGGTTTATTAGTCATGTCATAAGGTACAAAAATTAACCAGGTGAGATCATATGAGGGGAACAAATAGCTGGGGATATGTGATTGTGTGAGGTCTTAAGAAATAACTCAGTACAAACCAGGTGGAGAGAGAGAGAGACAGATAGAGTTCATAGGGACCGAGAAGATTTTAAATTATAGATATTTCTAGGATATTCTTGACAAAATTATTCTAGAATTTGATTTTGAAGATTTTTTTTATTTACACATAGGCAAATATCTTTCACTTCAGCTTCAAATTGTGATAAAATCAACTAAACGGAACTTACATAGTCCAATACGGGCAATAAAAGAACAATTAAATTTATAAGTTTCCCGATTGAGAAGATAAGACATATTGATAGCTAATGTATAATTTGAATAATTTAAAGTTTTTTTCAATTCTTTACAAATCTATTCGAAAACCACATATATTAAGTTTTTGAAGCCCAGAGTGGACTTTTGTTAATCATAGGTTCTAGTCGGTAAAAAAATGAATTTGAAAATGCCTCAATGTCTTTTTTGATTTCTAATGTATACATAAATCCAATAAAAAACCACTCATCTTATCATAAAATTTTAACAATGAAATTTGGGTTTGATGTATTGAAATTTAAAGCTTACATTTTACAAATTGTACATTACGTTTCAGATGATAGTACCAGGAAATTTGAAGTCTTCATTTTTGGAAAATACCTTAATTTGAGACCCGAAAGAGCAAAATTTCTGTCAAAGGAATATAAAAAAAGAGAGAAATATCCTACAGGCATCGAAGTGGAGCAAAGATTCTGCGATGGTGCCTCAAATAGACGGAAAAATGAGTAAGAAAGAATGTCTGAGCTGGCATTCCAGGAAGCAGTAGAGGAACAAGACGCAGCGGCCACATCAACATCGACAGTGACGTGGGAACGCGGTAGAGACTCCTTGTCACCGTGACGAGCAGCCGCGGCTAAAGCGGGCGGGGGCAGCCATCTCCAGCTCGGCTTCGTCGCAGGAAGGCCGACACCAGAGCCGGAGCATCATGACGTCGATGATGGAGGCGGTGGAGGACATTCACGTGAAGCGACCGAAATTTCTGCACCATGGGCCTCCCATCGGGCCTTCCTCGAGCGTCGACGACGAGACGGTGTCGGAGGTCCTCCACTTGTGAGAGCGAGCGGACATGATTTTCACAAAAACCCGAGAAAGCGGTCGATGTTTCAACATCTGAGTCCTCCTCTTCGCCCCACATTTCCTCTTTGTCTTTCATTCTATCATCAAGTCTGCGGTGCTCACTCCGACGATTGGTTGTGATTGGTTTCTCGTTTTCAGCAAATGACACCGCTCCTTTTGACGTTAGATATGGTATGTAGATCCAGTACACATACCATGCAGTTGAAGTATTCTATCTACATTTTGTATTGGATGAGAGTTTGGAGTATGATTGGAACCTCCTCAAATGGATGTATGTTCTTGACATGTGAGAGGTCAAGATGTAGTAGAAGGATTGTCAAGCATAACATGTGATTTCCATGCATTATCTCTTTCGCTCTCTTGATGTTATCGACGAGGCACCACAAAACTACGTCCAATATATGCCACTACAAATTAACACCTCCCCTGGCCTTCGATCATGCAGAGGCTTTCACTTCCGTGGTGCTCCCTCTTAGGTTGAACACCATTCGATGCTTCGCTTCAGACCTAGCGAGACATGTTGACAGCAACGATGCATGGAGTCCACAACAATCAAAGAGCCAAATGTTTAGCCTACATGTGAGAGCCCTTTCAAAATCTTACTTTTCAATGATCTAGTAATTTATTCTTTTGTCGTCAGGAAAATGAAAGCAACACAACTAGCTTGGTATAAACGGGTTAGTCTTGGGGGATGCCACATAATGCGCAGGTACTTCTTATCCTGTGGTTTTTCTGCAAGCAATCAGGTTTAAGATTCGCCTGATGGCTCGTGAGAAGGTATCCTCGCCGTATGTTGTAATATTTGTTGGCCCTGCCAATAGATGTTTCGTGACGGCAGGAGAAACTGACCTGGATAAATTGCTTTATTCATTCATTCCTAAACCCTAGTCTCTATTCCCTGATACTCGTCAAATGAAGTTTTTGATTTTCTAAAAACCAAGTTTTCCTGACCCTAGAGTTTAGGAATGACCGATTTATGTGGGGACAGAAGTTGGAGAAGCAACCCGCAGGAGAGAGAGAGCAGACTGTTCCCTAAAAGTCGATGGACTACCGGGCGTCCAATGAAAAGCCTGGAAGGAAAGGGCGTTGCGAGTAACTCTGCTACAGAGACGGAACTCATACTTATGATGGTGCGTCAATGCCCTACGCTCCAAGCTCTAGATTACGGCGCCGTAGTTTACTTGTCGGCAACAGAGAAAATAGTGGAATTTGGGCGATTCTGGGTCAGGAGGTCGTCATATTCCTCAGGCTCAGACTTAAACATAGGCGCTGTGTCCGCAGCTTGTGGAAGAAGCTACGGCCCAAGGTGGTGCCAACGTGGACAATCGAAAACAATGTGTGACATGCTACTTCTCAGCATATTCATACTCGTTCATGTCGACGAGCTTCCTCTAAGAGTTCAATTGCCGTTGCTGTTGTTCGAGGGGTTTGATTGCTGCCCCTTCAGAAGAGAACGGAGTGATGAGCTTCGTCGAGCAGCAGCCGGCATTGAAGAAATTGGCTAGAAACGTCGATTGCGGGCTGTATGAAGCAGCATCAATATTCTTGTCCTGCTTCGCTGTTAATTTCTTCGTCTGATAATCGAAGAGGAGTTAGGAAGAGTGGATATTGCCTGTCCTGCATCTTGGATTATGTCTTCCGATCAGCCACCACCGGAAGCGCGTGGTCGAGGTGGGCGCAAAAATAAACTAGGCCAGACTGCGCAAAGCAGACCATCCCCTCCCCGTACTCGTAGCAGAGCCGTAGCGAAACCGAAGCTCGAGGCAACCAAAATTGAGGTGCTTGAAACCGAGTGTTGCGTCGAAAAAATTGAGCTGAAACAGAGCAATGGCGACAACAGTAAGATTCACTTGTTTCTATATTAAATGCTTGCGAAAGTGTTTTGGTTGTTGCTGACTACCTTTGTTATGCAAGTTGAAATTCTTCGTTAAACCTTTGTCTTTTTCGTGAGCATTGCGTTTCAATGCTCCTAAGACGTGATTTTGTGATGAACTTTACATTGCTTTTTCTTTTTTTCTTTTTTATCAACAGAGCTAAACGTCTCGTTGAGGAGAACCCGAAGAAGCATTAGCACAACAGTTCAGCAGCCAGTCCTCACTGCTTTGTCCGAATCCGAGGAACATGGTGATCGGTGTAGCTCCGAGGCTTCCTTGTCATCAGATAGCTTGTCACGGGATCCCGGGGAGGTACATTCCACTGATGATAGCGGAGATAGTGAGTCTCTGACATCCGAAAATTCAGACGGGTCAGCTGAAGGCACTGGTAACAAGAGACGTCGAAGGTCGAAATCAGCTGTACAGTCGAGAGGAAGCGGCAGAGGTCGAGGAAGGGGGCGTGGGCGGGGACAAGGACGAGCCAGTCGGAAAAAAGACATGGGAAAGAAGGTGTTGGAGTGGGAGATTTTTCAAGAAAAGTGGGAAAGCCAATGGGGTGGAATGGAGGATGAAGAGATTGAAGCTTTTAACAAGCAAAGTAATCCTGTGGAGCAGAGAAATCCCTCTTCTGACGTTCGGATGCCGCTCCTTCCTTTTCAAAAGGAGTGGCTTGCTTGGGGTTTAAAGCAAGAGGCGTCTGAAATCCAAGGTGGTATCTTGGCCGATGAAATGGGTATGGGTAAAACTATCCAGGCTATCTCACTCATCGTCACGGATCGTGCTCTTCATGGTCCATTTGACTCTAAAAGGCAGCATGGTATGCAGAACGCAGGATCTGTAAATGGCTCATGTGAAGGAGCAGAATCCATAAAAGAACTACCTCAAGTGAAAGCAACATTAGTGATATGCCCTATGGTGGCAGTAAGTCAGTGGCGGTCTGAGATCGAGAAATTTACGGCTCCTGGTTCCATGAAGGTGCTTGTTTATCATGGACCAAAACGAGGCATGGGGATAAACGAACTCATGAAGTACGACGTTGTCCTTTCAACTTATGCAATAGTGGAATGTGAGCATCGGAAGCACGTTATGCCTCCGAAGCAGCATTGCAAGTGGTGTGCAAAGACTTTTTATCCGGATCGTTTGGCAATCCATCAGCGATATTTTTGTGGACCTAATGCTCAGAGGACTGCCAAACAATCAAAGCAGGTGAGGAGAAAAATCACCGCACTTGCCTTGGGGAAGTATGAGGAAAGTGAGTCAGATGAAGATAACAAACCAGTCAAAGGAGAAGGAGAGGAAAGTACAAGCGGGAAGAGAGGTGCAGCTTCAACAGGTAGGAGGGGAAGGAAACGGAAGATTGATGCCGATGATGTGGGCGCAGCCTTGCAAGAAGATGTGGATTGTGTTGCAGATACTCCCACCAGCTCCTCTGGGAGGATTGGGAATTCTCTCCTGCACTCCGTTAAATGGGGTCGAATAGTTCTGGATGAGGTGTGATTCTCGTATATCTTACTGTTTGTATTATGTGGAGTCTATCATGATGCCTCTTGCATTATGTGTGGCTCTTGATGTATGCAAGGACTACACGCACATTCAAATTAAATTTTGTTGCAAGGGCATAGTTGTGTTCTTCATATTTCTTCTCAGTTTTTCATTTCCTTCGGCTCAACCTGTGGAACTTGAAGTTTCGAAACGTCATTAGATCTCTCGTTTATGAGATGAAGACGCTGATCCTCGTTGCCTTTTCGAAGTTCGTTAATCACATACAAGCACTCTTGAACCTACAATGTGACTTCGTTTCGTCCCTTTGTAGTGAAGTTTGTGACGAATGATTGATGATCTACGAGATCGTTTAGTCCGACTACACTAATGGATGTCATCTTACAGGCCCATTCGATAAAAGACAGGAGGTGTAGTACTGCCAAGGCTATATTTGCACTCAGATCCATCTACAAGTGGGCCCTCAGCGGAACTCCATTGCAAAATCGTGTTGGCGAGTTATATTCTCTTGTGTGTACTCTTTCCTCTCATCTATTTTGTTTCACTTGGAATGAGTTAGTTTGTTTGCTTTGCCATATATGGCCTGTCAAGGCCATTTTCTGTATACACGGTGCATAATAAAAGTGGTCTTATTCCATCAGTATGAACAGAGGATAAGAGACACATTTTATATTTAGATGGTATGCACTGGTGAAAGGAGTTTCAAAAAGTCACATGTATATTGTGCAGAAAGATTTTAAAGAACTATCGGTTGTCATCTCTGACAGAATCTACTGGCATGTAGGTGCGGTTCCTGGGAGTATATCCATTTTCCTATTACTTCTGTCGCAAGTGTGATTGTAAATCGCTCGATTACAAGTATGTGTGGCATACACTGAGTTCAAAGCACTCGCTCTTATGGCTAGGCTCTTATGAACTGAGTTAAACTTACTTGATTTGTTATCGATGCATCCAGTGTTTTTATACTTTTCTTCCATAAATTGTGAAAGACGACTTTCTCTTGCAGGTTTTCTTTCGGACAGAAGTGTGAATGTGGGCACTCAGCCTTGCTTCATTTTTGTTGGTGGAATAAGGCAAGTCAAACGTTATTTTTGTAGAAAGTTTCAACATTTTGATTTGATTACATCCTTTTGATGCATGAGGGATTGACTCAAAAGGGGACCTTACAAATCAATAACTTTTCGATCAGTTAATTATATCGTGTAGTAGTTTGTTCTTTTGTTTGTGTCTCGTGTCTACACTATTTGAAGTGCAAAACATAATATGCAACAACTCTTTTCCTGTAAGGAGAAGATTTCAATTCAGGTTGTCCAAGTTAGAATCTGAATCTCTTATACCATGTAAGTGTCGTCAATGCTTTTTGTAACAGTTCATCGCAAATCCCATAAAAAAATGGGGCTACATAGATGAAGGACGAACAGCTATGACAATTTTGAAACATTTAGTCTTGCAAAAGTGTCTCCTTCGACGAACCAAGACTGAACGAGCTGCGGATCTATCTCTTCCACCACGAACAGTCTGTTTCCTAACTGTGCTGCTTATACAAATCATTTGTATTCTCATTCCTGCAACGTTGGAACTTAAATCTTTTACTGTTCATTATTGTATTGTGCCCATTTGTTATTCAGGTCATATTGTTGAGTTCCCAAGAGTTTGGAGTTATAAATTTGGTGGTGTCTGAACAGATTTCTCTTAGACGAGATGTTTTCGACGATAGGGAAAAAGACTTCTATGAGGCTCTATATTCAGAAAGTCAGCTGCAGTTTAACACGTAAGTTTTTTCACCAATGAGTGCTTTGTGACTCCTTAACTTTTTTACTTGAGATATTGTCTTCATTCTGCATCATATTGTGTGTAGCATAATTTTAGAGCATGTTATGAATTTAGTACTTTATTCGGCCAGGCAATATAATCTAGTCGTTGCTGGTCGTCATTGCAGGTATGTGCATTCGGGCACTTTGTTGAACAATTATGCTCACATTTTTGATTTGTTGATTCGCCTCCGTCAGGTATAATTATCTCGTTTCATTTATTCAAGAAGTTCAGATCTTTGTAGATTTTGGAACAAATAAGAAAGGTCCATTGGGAAGGTAGATAGATAGACAGATGAAGATTGAAATTATTTTTTGATATTATCTCGAAATTTGAAAGGGTGAAAAGCCTTTTGTCTGGATTTCTTGAAGTCTTTTCTCAGGTTTTACAAATTACTCCGAGTATCTACTGCTCGAAATCGACCTGTTTTGGTTATACACTAATGAACAGTAATATAAAGACATCGGACTCGCTTCTTAGAGTACATTCAGCTGCTGCAGTTATCTAGATGCTGTATTTTGCAGGACTTTTCCTTGTCTTTGGTCTAGTGTAAGATTTCTCTCCTTTGGTGACGTAAGAGCTGTTGGTAATGTTTAGAAACATTCTGTAATATGGAATATATTTGAATCGAAGAGTTTATAGAACTAGACCCTTCTAAGACTATTCTTTACAGAGTTGTTTTACTTCCATTTCGTGTTCATCCTTGGTCTAAGGCTGATGAATTTGCTGGGTATAGGCTGTGAACCATCCATATCTAGTGGTGTACTCAGCAGCATCATCTGCAGCAGCTCCTCAGTTTGATGGTCGTGTTCAAGATCCAATGTGCGGCATCTGTTATGACCCTGCTGAAGACCTAGTGGTAATGAAACTTCCATATGTACTTCTACTTCTGCTTTATCCTCTTCAATCATCAACGTCGGACCTAAAGTTACACGGATTCGATGCAGCAATTGATTTATATCTGTCTCATTATATTATAGTACTTATATCGGTCGTTTGCCTTTTGGATATCATAGAGTACAGGATGTCAACATCATTTCTGCAGGATTTGCATGGAAGAGCACATGGAGGCAGGATTGGAGTCCAAACGGTTGCAGTGTCCAACTTGTCATATAGCTCTTAGTGTAGATATGACAAGAAAATCCGAAGAAACGAAGGAAGTTGTCCCAAAGTTGCGCAAGCGCTCGAGTATTTTAAACAGGATTAAACTTGATAATTTTCAATCAAGTACAAAGATTAATGCTGTGGTAAGTTCTCCAATCTTCGGTTGCTTATGTTTGCGTGCACGGTTTAGCTAGCTGCAGGGTAATACTGGAAATGTTTTAATTTGTGAAGGTTATACCCTTTGAAACTAGATAGGAGAAGCACTTCAGAAAATTTTGGGCAATGTACTTGGTGGTCACTGTTTTCCCCGAATTTTAATCTGAGTGATATGTGTAACAGAAAGAGGAAATCTTTCTCATGCTTGCAAAGGATCCAGGAGCGAAAGCTATCATTTTTAGTCAATTCACGGCGATGCTGGAACTCATTGGGTTCTTCCTACAAAAGGTAACTAGATTCTTCTTTTTGCTGTATCCGTAATCATGAATGTGCACTTTATTACTTCGAACGACAACCTGATGATAGTGTTTAAGCTCATCGTGTCCATTATAATGTCTTGCTTAGAAGACCCCAGATAAAGACAAGAGCACATTTTGTGTAGTAAAGAGGTATATCTCTTTTTCTTGGATTATTTCTTGAAGGACCTTCAAAACATAAAGTAACTGGCACTCTGTATCGAATTAGCAATCGACATTCATCATGTTAACTGATTAACTATTAGGTTTCCAACTATTTCAACCTTTCAAGGTTTTCTTTGACATAATTCTTCATATATATGAGAAAAATAACTTCTGAACGATTTTGTAAGATTACCTGCAAACTATGGATCTTAAGCATCATCGTATTAAGGCGAGAACTATGTTTGAGTTTTAATTGTTATATTGATAAGTACATATTATGAAAGTTCGACATTTAGAGTTGTCAACCTTTTGCTCATTGCCATAGGTATGCAGATCACTATCAATTAAATGTTTGTTTACTTATTTTACACCAACAATATATCAACCTAATACTGGATTCTATATTTGTCATTAGATAATATGGAGAAAATTAGATTCCATTTTTATTGTTCGACTCCAAGTTAATTACTATTTTTCGTTCATGATCGCAGTCAGGAATTGGATTTGTGAAGCTTGATGGATCCATGAGCATGCAGGCACGTGACTACATGATTGATAAATTCACAACTGATGCGGATACAAAGGTATGTTGGTGAACCTTTCTATGAAACCTTTCTTTGTCGTTAATATAATTTTTTCAATCCTGGAAAGAATATATATTCTGACCGAACCTGATATCCACCATGGACTGCATTGTGGTGGATCATCTCTACAGATATTCTTGATGAGTCTGAAGGCAGGAGGTGTGGCGCTAAACCTTACCGTGGCATCACATGTACGCTCTTAATCCTCCACCTTTAAAGAGTAGTGTCAAGTCTTCTTGTAGAGATTTGTGTCGGATAATTTACATTAAATGAAAATGAGTTTGTCTGAGTTGACTTCGTCCCCGGTATGTCTGTATGATTGCAGGTATTCTTGATGGATCCTTGGTGGAACCCTGCAGTAGAACAGCAAGCTCAGGATCGGATTCATAGACTGGGCCAAACGAAAGCAGTCAGGTGGAACTTCTGATTCTTATTCTAAGAAGAGCTTCTGCTATCTGGTCGTTATGAGATTGCTTCTCTAATTTCCTTTTAAAGGTGCCAGGAATAAAACTGGAAACAAAGTTAGTTCCTTGAAAGACAAGTGCTTTTGATCTTAGTCAACTTCGCTCCCCTTATTTAAATATTGACCTAGGTCATTGTGTTCTTTTTTGGGCAGGATAATACGTTTTGTGATTCAGAACACTATCGAGGATCGGATCCTGAAGCTTCAAGAAAAGAAGCAACTGGTTTTTGAAGGGTATGATCAACTTGCATCTGTATCGCCTTTGTTTCTTTATCTTTTATGAGCTGGCTGCACAGATTTTTCCTTATGCAAAACTCGTGAATGACGTTGTGACTTAATTGATGTACTAGCTCCAGGCCAGCTGTGTACAGTTTCAGATTATATTTTAGCAGAGTTGTTTTTGTGAGATGCTTGACTCGTGTCTAAAGTGGAGGACATGCTGAACCAAATTTTTTCAGCACCGTTGGAGGTTCAGCAGAGGCCATGGGGAGACTCACTGAGGAAGATTTACGATTTCTTTTCAACAATTGAAAATTGAAACGTTGACAAGATGTTCAACGATATGGTTAGACTTTGAGTTTACGCGAAACTGCAGAGAATCCAATTGTACATTGTAGACGAGATAAAGAGCCTCCGCACAGAATATTAGTCTTGTTAACTCGAGCGCGTTTGTTCCTTCCAATCGTAGTTGTCAGAGCAATCACAGCGGTATTGCCATATAGATGCGTTGTAACCTCTGTACCCCCAACTTAACAAAGAATCTCATTGAAGCCGACGCTTCTTCGTTGGAATGACATTTTTGTACATGTTTGGAACGGAACGTTCAAGATCCTTCTCTGCTCAAGATGTGTAGTAAAGTTAAATGATGTTGTTAGCATATTCGTGGTAGTCGTCTTTTTCATGAGAGTTATGCATGTCTCATGAAGTTTATCTCCTTCATGTTTCTTGTCGAGATTCAACAACTTGATTAATTAGAACATCGGCTTCATTCCCAATTACCTTCTAGCACAGACGAGAAAATTATGAGAGAAATAGAGGAAAGAAAGTATCATGTGGAATTATAGATTAGAACCCAAGCTTGGAGAGACGGTCAAAGCTCGTCAAGCCAAAGAGGACAATAAGCCAGCAGAACCCAGAGAAATGGATGAGGTAAACAAAGAAAGATACATAAATATTCTAATTTCACGTAAATGCGTTCTCGTTGCAATTATAAGAGGTCCTCAGTTTGCCCTTAAAATTGAAGACAACAACTGCAAGAAACACAGGAACTAATGTAAAACAAATCAAATCAATGTCAGCTCTCGTACAATCTCGCTCAAATTGACAGAAAGAAACCTGCACACAGTGTGGTGGAAATCATACACAATCCCTTGAGTCTCATGTGTAAACCATACTTAGACGTTTTCCACAAAACTTAGTAACGTACCAGATTACAAGTGACTCTCAATATGGAACTAAAGCTATTCACAAGAGGTACGCAGCTCCAAGGATGGAAACCCTAAACCCTATCAAAATGTAAGAACTCAAGTTGGACGTCTTGCAAATTACGCACATGTCAATATCCAAATGATCATCATTCTGATGTATGATACCAACCCCCAAAAATAATGCTCAAATGCAGAGTTCCTTGGTTTGATTCACCGCTCTAGACTTCCTCTAGACGTCATTGCATAATATGCTTCTCAAGGTCGCTCATCGTCTCGTAGAAAATCATAAAACAACTTTGGAAAAAAAGATTAATCATTGGCCGGACATGCTCATTCTCGACATTTCTTCAGCCTCGTGAACCGGCTTGAAGGGGAAAGAGCAGATGGTAAATGGTAAAGAGGAAGAAGAAAGAGAAAGAGGAAGAAGAAGAAGAAGTGGCTTCGTTGTCTCTTCTGGTCCCGGATGTAGGACAACAAGTCATCCATCCATCCATCTTTTTATCCGTCCATCTATCCATCCATCCATCGCTCGTCTTGTCTTGTGTGCCAGTATTCGAAAAGGAAGTCCGAGAGCGATCCGCGGCCAGTGGCCATGGCTTCCCGCGGCCTTTGCTGACTCACCGGAGCAGACGAGAGCCGGAAGAGCCAGCCGGTCATGGCGCCTCCCTGGCTCAACGTCTCGAGCGCGCAAGACGATGAGCGCGAGAGATGGAGTGACGAGGAGCATCCATTCGGGCCTCGAATTCTGCGGCGGAGAGTTGGAGCACGGGCGCGATTTCGATTCTGCTGAGGTCAGTGGATGCGAGGTGGAAATGGAATGGCAGTGAGCATCGAATGTTGTGACTTTCTGAAGAATTGTTTTCCCAGCTGTCGTTTAGCTTTTCGACAGTCCTGCTGTTGAAGCTCAATGTGCTGGTTTGTAATGCATTGTCGTTTCGGTTTCGAAGTTTGTTCTGCTATGGAAGATCGTGGGATTCTTGAGTTGAGGAAGAATGCTTGGTACCGGCAATTCTCCTTCGATTCGCTGAACTGACGACTGACGACGTTCGTGAGAATTCATTCTCATGGACATTGGGCTGTCGAACACCCGACATCCGAGACAAGATCCTGACAGGCATATTGTATGTTCGGTGTCATTACATGCTTTCTCGCTGAGCACTTCCTCGGTACAGAAATTACGGCCCCGCAGTCGCCATTCTTCGTTTCGAGAATCTCACTCTTTGTAGCTCTCTTGGTGTCATTTTGACTCCTCAAATCCGTCTGAAGGGCACGTTTCATTGGCTTTGCGTAAATAATACGAGTATGTTCAAAGCAGAGATATTCGCGAAAATTTCTCGCGGACGAAATTGTTGGTTCCGCGATTGGAAAAAATGTTTACAGAAAGCAACATCCTGCGCGCTCTGTCCACGGAAAACTTGCTGCTTGGGTTGTCATAGAGGTGTTTTCCGATGTAAAACATGAAATTGAACCGGAATCCTATCGAAACATTCTGCCGAATTACTTCGACACATCGAATTCTGAAGGAGTAGAATGGATGAGTAGAGTTCGTTGGCAGAGTTCTTACTCTCAGCATCTCTACTAGCAATCAGACAGTGCTTCGAACACAGTTTGAATAGTTGCTAGAGACGATTACTTGGCTCCTACATTCCTGAAGGATGTGTTTACTATCTGCTGTTCGCGCGTTTCCAGCAACCGGGATGAGTACCAGATACATACGCGTGAACATTAGTCTACCCTTTTCACATGTCATACATCGTCGGAGAAGCGAAATGAGAACCAGGTCATCAAGTTTTATATTCGTATACCTCCCGAAACAGTGCTGATATTCCGTCCAGTCAAATGCGGCCTGAGAGTTTGAGACATTTGGCACTGTATTGCAGATATGCATGGCACTATATAGTGCACATCATAAGCTTCCGCTACAATCCTTGAAGATCCTTGAAGATCCCCTTGAATCGAACAGAGTTTGAGTTTGTACTCGTAGACACTGAGCTTCCTTCTTCCGTTGGTGAGGTGTAGACCGGACGATAAACTTCGAAACTTGTATCATTACCTGTGAGTGTTGGTATTTAGCGGAGAAGTGTAGGACTCGTGAGTGTGGGAATGGCCTGGAAGGTCTCCATCCGTACCTTTGTGTCCTTGTGGTAACGTCATGCAGTGTGTATTGATGTTGTATTTGTCTTCAGAACTTTATCTGATGATATCCCTTTCAGTCTTGAGACTTGGAGCAGATTTGTGGCATTGTATGCAGCGCTGGATGTGGTTGTTGGTCCTACGTTTTGAGTCTTAAATCATTTCGGAAACAGCTAGTCACTACTGGACGTTGGATTACTTCGGATAGAAAAGAGAACACTCGTGTCATTGAAGTAAGTCGGAAGTCAGTGCCAAGATAAGGAGGTTTACTTGAACAGTGGGTGGTCGAGAAAGCGTTGTTATGAGTTGTGAAGGTGCATTTGCACCCGTGAGCTAAGCTTCATGGTCTCAGACGTGACGTTCCTCTCTTGTACAGGTGATAAACAGAGCAGCAGCCAGGTCTCAAAACTGCGGATACTTGTAATATCTTAGCGGGTTGGGGAAGTCTGTGAATATGCAGGCTGCCGTAGGGAATGTGGTCTGCACCTCACCACTTTGCCGTTCGGATGCCTACCGATTCAGTCCCTTACCGAGTGCTGGCTTGGAAGGACGAAGGCTTCAGTCAGTTTCTGGCCAGCAAAGGTCGCAAGGCTTTAAATTGGGGCCTTGGAGATGTAGATCACGAGTAGTGCGCCCATGCCAATCCTCGGACTGTGTTGAGAAAGTCGATTTCGGAATTCATACGATTAAAGCAAGCGCAAACTCTGCAAGCACAAGGAACGTTGGCAAAGGTTTGGCTTTGTTGGGGAGTGGAGGTATTACATTCTGCACAGCAGGAGACGTAGCCCAAGAGAATGTGGTCGATGCGTCAGGTCAAGGAGGGGAAGTCACGGCTGACACAGGTCTCAGTACCTTGTTCACTGCTGCCTTCATCGGCCTTAGCATGCTAACGATTGGTGTAAGTCAAACATCTTCCATTCGCCTCCAGTTATAAATTGAGTAGGTCCTTAGGAGTCGATAGCCTGTGAATCTTTGGTTCTATGATATCTGAATATTCTCAGAGCAATCACGTTTGTAGTTTGATGGCTAGAATGTCCGTTAAAGATGCAGACTTAGATGCATAATCTAGTTGGTGCCGAGTTTGTAGTGTGTAGGCTTCTAACTTCTTCAGTCCGTTCAAACTAATGTATTTACGTCTAGTTTTCCTCTCATTTCTCATTCAATACTAGCAGCACCACTCAGCTCAGGCGTCTCTTCGAGGTGAACATTAAGGAGTACAGCTTTTTTGTCACGACAAGATGTGGACCGGGTTTCATATTTTGCAGGTCTTCCTATACCATTCTTTGACGTTACTGGATTGTATGAGGCCAACTGACAAACTTTATGTGTATCTGTGCTTTTCCTCAGGTTGCAGGCCCTGCTCTCGCAGAGGCGGTTCCGGTGGAGATGGTGGATGACAGTCAATATTGGTGGGAAGTCTTGCTAACAAGTGGAGCTTGCGGGATTATATATCTTCTGGTCATCCCGGTAATGTTTGCTTCCAAATGATATTATGCTACCAAGTATGTGTGGCGCAATAGCAGGCCCGGTAGAATGTGTGCAACAGCTGTACTTAACTCCTCAAGATATGCCCAACCCTGCTAATTGTGACTCTGAGTTTTATAACATGGAACTGGGCTTGCTGTCTTCGTATTGTACGTTCGTCTCCCTTGGCACCGATCATGATTATCGGCAGCCAGTAAGTCACAGCTGCTCACTGACGAAATCGTCTTTTTACCTCAGGCTATTATCTACAACTACTTGCGCCTTCGTTGGTACAAAAGGAATGCACTGGAGACTTACTTTCAGTTTATGTTGGTGTTTATCTTCTTCCCTGGGTAAAGATTCACTTCCCAATAACGTCGTTCGAAGTCTAGTTCCATGGATTCTCATGTATAACTTACTTCGCAAGCTGATAGGCATAAAGAAGTGTCTTATCATCAAACAGTGCGAGTTTTGATGTTGCACCTCATAGAAGTATTTTATGTACAACAATAAAACATCCAAGCTTCAGACGGCCGTCGAACACAATATCTGACGGAGTATATTTTGGTTCTCCAGGTTGCTGTTGCTGGCTCCGTTTATTAACTTCAGGAGACTACCGAAGGAGGGCACAGAAGCGCCTTGATCTAGCTAATTTGTACTTTTAGTAGAAGGTTTGAAGCATGGAATTGAACTTGAGTGTTACATTCGGTATTTAACATTCAAACAATGTTGTACATCAAGCAGTTGTATTTTCACTTGCATGATATGGCAGCCTGTCAATCCTGTGGAATGATGATGTAATGAATTAAGGACCCAGCTGCTTATAACTTCATAGTCATCTTGTAGCAAGATCTGTCCTAAATACTTATTTTAGTCATCACAAACTATTCGGTGTTGCATTCTGGAATGCACGATGTTAACAGGAAATGTATCACATTATCCTGTACTGAGGGAAATAAGTTTAATCAATACTCAACATTCTTCTGCACACGATCTATACTGCGAACAGATACAGAAAAGTGGACCTTAGACAAACTGAATTAAAAGTTTAAAATTATATACAAGCAACGTTGGTTACCATCGCATGGGTGGGACACTATGAAAATCTCCCGAACAGAAAACTTCTCATGTATGCGCACTATTATATCTTGCACAGAAGTCGTCACCACCACGAATAATGTCCCATTGTCTGCACACAGCCAGTTCAAGGGTCTGCTGAGCAACAAGGTCTTCAACTCTGGCGTAAACGGAGAACTACTTATCCCAAACTTATAATTTTGTCATGACGCGGCGTGTGCCCTTCTCTTGTAGCAAAACGTCCTAATGTAAGTCCTAATGCATCTCTCAACTAGACTTGAAGTCTGGTCAGGTTCGGTCTACCTGAAAAGCTTGCAGCACTGAGTTGAAATCGGGCTGATTCGCCGACATTCCGACAAATTCTGGGCAGATTTGAGGCTGGCACCAAACGATATATCCTTAAGATTTTACCTAACCATGATATCAATCTGCCTTCTCACGCCATTTGAAACATCACAATTTCTCGAATGGTCTCGTGCTAACAGAGCACCTTCATGCTTGCCCTGGCAAGAAGAATTGAACTGTTCCCTCCATGATTCGAAATTGATGCTTTTGGAGCCTGACTCTTGTTCTCACTTGCGAGAACACATCCTCAAGTTGATCTGTTCTGTGCTGCACTGTAACCTGTCATACCATGACGTTGGATCATATCAGCAGACCGCCCTCACTCACTGGACAAATTTGCTATCATGTTCAACACGCCACAATAGAAGCTCGTTCATGTAGGGGAGCCAGGCATACCTGACCGTGGACATCGACTGCAAGGCCAGTGCTCAAAGGCTCCACAGTAATAACTGTATCAGCAGCATGTTCCAATTGTGGGCTCATGAACGAGGCAGGAGGCTCCTCATAAACATCTCGATGCGTGAGAACGATCAAAGAGCATCTCTGTTCAAAAAAATCACAGCATGTCAGCAATACTGAAACTACGAATTCAGTACGTTCAATGCCCACAGAAAATGTGAACACGGTGAAAAGAACATTCGAGAAACGGACCTGCTTCCCGACTGTGAGTGCTCTGCAATAGTGCAAAAAGTCTAGTACAAAGTTATGAGATCCGCCGGCAATCACATCCAATATCGAAGCATCATCAATCATGATGCACGTCTGCCCTGCACCGTCACCGGAAGGATCAGAAACCTGCCCTCCTCGGGCTGCCTCTTTGATTTTCAGATAGATGGCTGCCAGTGGATTGTCCGATAAGGGAGTAGCACTTGCACCAGCATCTGCAAGGGGAGAGGCAAAACATTAGACAGTTGGCATCTTTCCACCTGATTAGGTAGACTCATCTCGATGCGACAATGAGTCGACTATGGAGAGCGTGTGTTAGCTTATGGATGATAGATGACCTGATCCAGTTCTTTGTTCACTGAGCAGCAGTGGTTGATCAACGAAAAGAAATCGGCCACTGTCTCGCATGCTCTGCAGATTGCAACCCTGATATGTGCCACACACAATCCGCGATCGTTATTTATCTCAGATCACAAATTCCGATTGCTGTTCGAACAGATTGCTCGGTAGCTTATGGACGATAGATGACGAGCAGAAACAGGTTATGGCTCCTGCACCGGGCATGATTGCATGTCTACCTGTTTCCGAGCAATTCGAGAGTAATGGGAGAAAGGCTCCGAGAGACCAAGCATCACAACGCGTGCGTTGGTGGACGTCAGAAGTCTTTTCAGCAGATAGTGCAACAGGAAGCCTCCTCTACAAGCCACGCAGTCCTTGATCAGCACCATCGATCCTCCTTTGGTGCCTACCCTGTGCGCCAATTCTTCCACCATTCTGCCTGACCCGATACTACAACCGCTGATGGATTTTGACCGTTTCTTCAGCAGCAACAATCGGCGACAACTTCCATGCAAATTCCTCAGCTACTGTACGCCACAATGCCATCGAGGTATTCACTTTCAGTTGTACCGACTCATCTGACGCCAATGTCAGAACTTAAGAAACAATAGAAACTACTTCAACATTCAGATGGAGGACCAGATTTGTAGAGCCCGGACTGTAATGCCACGAAAAGTAAACCGCGCATAAAACAGGAATATACAGCTACACTAGCAGTGATGTATTAAATATCGAACTGCGTTTCTTGAAGAGATTGACGATGTCCGAACTAGAAACATCTTCGGAAGCTGAATCACAGAGGTCAAAAGTGCTCGGGAGCCTGAATTTGATGTGACTTCGACGAGTCTATCAGGCCATCTTCCAAGGACCGTGTAATAGGCGCTCGAAAGAGAGGGAATGTGCGTTAAATAGACCTTCCGAAGAAATTCCATGCATTTCCGGCTCCCGTCGGAGCAGAATTACAATTACGAAATTAGAATTACGAAAGAGAATGAAATCACCTCATTCCAAAACCCAGATTTGGTAGAGACTCCATGTGTACGATCACGGCCTCAAATCCCTCATCCGTCCTCCTCAATTCCTCTACCGATCTCCATGTGTTCCGCAACGACGCCACTAAAACCCTAACCCCGTTGCTCGACCGCTTCCCAGACTCGTCGACCTCGAGCTGTTGCTGATTCCTCGTATTCCAACGTCCGAACTTCCCATCTTTCTCCTGCGACTTCTCTTCTCTTTCCCCTCTGCGCTTCATCAATCGATGCGACGTTACATTCTTATTATTCTGAGCAACAATCTATTCAAAAACACATCGCCGGATTCGAAAATACCCTGTTCCTTCCATTAATGAATGCAAGAACTGATCTACACATTTAGTAGCACCAAATTTTGAAGAGTTCAGGGATCATATCATAAATGCACATAATTTTTAGTTTTGTTGTTGAGATTTTTCCAACAAGTATAGTCAATAATGCCAATTGATTAATCTAATCCTAAATCTATCATCTAAAGTTAAATAACATTTTGTTCAACTTTTAACAATCGATTCATTCTCCAATGTATTATATCTTTTAAGTTCATATATGATATAGTTATTTTCAAAACTTTTTATTCTTTAAATAATTTAAAACTGAACGGTAGCCAAAATAAGCTTGATAAAATATGCATATTAAGTGACTTTGATTATCATTTTATCATAGACAATATGAAAATTTTACATATGAGTACATAAATCTCAACTAGTTAATCATCTTGTGATTCAAAACTTCACAATTTATTGTTATTATTTTGACGATATTGTACAATCAAACCAACTGGTTTTTATGTTTATGTCGCAATGTCAGTTTGAGTAAATAGTTTAGCTACAAATTTATGCAAAAAAATAATCCGATTTGCATATATTTCCAAATGTAAATAACTTCAAATTGTAGATTTCTTCTTAATGTATACTTGCAGCTTGAAACTAGGTATACTAGCAACTACATAATCAATGAATGAGCATATTATGTTTTTTTTTCTCATTTATACAAGTTCAAAGTCTAGCATACATTTGAAATGTACAAAGATTTATGCACAACAATTGGATGTATAAAATTTTAGATTTCATCTTCTTGTTTAAAACTATTTAGACATCAAATCTTTTTTCATATGATCTGTTGTAAAAAGAGCGGATGAAAGGTTGAAATTAATATCTCAAATTGTAACTATAATCTCTTGTAGTTTTCTTAGTTCAAGATACTTGAATTCAATTAATAATACTTCAAGCTTTAGATATTTCTAGCACTGAAATCCTCATTGATGTATCAATCATGTTTCTAGCATTTTACATGTAATCCATGTAACATATTAGATAAATGAAGTTAAAAAATTTATTTCTTCTTTATGTTTGATATAGTATAAGCTTATAACATCATCAATTTTCTTTTTGAGGTTTCTATAGACTTGTTTCATTTCATTCATGAATTTAGCAACATGTAATACGTTTTCTTTTAGCTGTAGTTCACAACTTACGTTGCTAATATCATACAATCCAAATTTTACAAAATAATGGTGTGAAAACATACATTTGATCTAACAGAATATCAGGAAAAATAAAAGACTAACAATAATCGAAATATTTGTATTATTATCAATGGAATATTATATCTAATTCTAGTCCAAAATTATCTCATGTTCAAATTATTTGAACATCAATTTCATTTTCTACAATGTTATTGGGTTCTTTTTTCCCAGATTATATATTCGTATACTCTTTATGATTTATGTATACTTTGTAAGTTTTACTAAGTGTGAAGTTTTGTTGTTAATCAATATTTGAATCTTTCTATGAACGTATCTTGCATAAGTATGTTGAACTATTGTATCTTGAAGTGTTTCATTTATTACAATTTGAAATTTACTATACTATAGATGTAATTGATTTTTTATAATCTTAAAAATCATTATAAATTTTTTCATTGATTTTTATTTTTTACGATATAGTACAAAGAGATATCAAAATGATGTGTATACTAATGATATATAGTTTACAATAACTTCAAACAATTGATATCTTTATAAATCTAAGAAATAAAAAAAAGTCATTCCTTTTTCAAAACTATATTCATCTCAAATATGAAAACCCTTGCGGTGGAAGTTGCATCCGATAAAATGAAATGCAAATGTTTAAATACGGGTGCAATTATCATGAAGGAGATACATAACAAAATCTAAATATTTTTTCCAAGTGTTTTTCACATTCTTACTATGTTTTTATGGAAAGTCAATTTCCCACCAACATTTACAAGAATTTATGTATGTTTGTTTTGATGAATTGGACGAAGTAACCCTCATAATTCCAATCATTTACGAGAAATGGCAACTGAGTACTCATCCATCAATTCGAGTTGATGATACAGAGTTAAACCTCCCAATAGTGTTACCTCCTAGGTGGTACATCCTTCCATTAGTGATATGAAAGTGTGACACCATTAGTTTCTAACGTGTAATTCTGTTCAATAAGAAGCGTACGTCACTATTGGCAATAGTGACATGAAACGAATCAATATTGACATCGTGGAGCTTTAATGACTATCATAATTACACAAAGTATTTGTTCACAACTTCCGGGTTTAGAATTATGTTTTTTTTCTATGCTTACAATAAGGTTGAATCATGATTTCAAGTATACTGCAAGAAGATTGAATGCATCAAATGTGAACTACTCTCGTTATTATCTACTACTTTCTTAACAGACATCAAATATATGTACAACAAGACAGGGTCCAGAAATATGTTGATGTTTTGATTTTATGCTTAGAGCATAAGTTAAGAAAATGTGCTCTGAATTTTGCGATGAAGCATATCGGACCAAAATTGATATCATTTTGCACAACCTTTTTATGATGTGGGTTACGTTAGTGCTCAGTGTGATCCAAACACTTTGCGTGGAGATATTCCTAGTCATCTAAGGGATAAATAGAAAAATACAATTTCGACTAGAATCTTGGGCTCTTTGACTAGCTCAACTTTTTGAGGTTGAACTTGTAGTTGTAAATTGATTTCTCACGCGTTTTCAAAATCATAAATCAGTTTCTCATGAATGAGATACTCAAACTAAGTACTCCAAGCAAGCAGTAGATCCTGCTTGCAGAAAACTTCGAGGGACAAAGACGGCCATTTGAAAACCTCGGATCATCATTGAGTCCCTCGACGTTTTCCATTGGAGACTCTCATGTGATCATTAAAATAATTCTCATGGTATCAAGTTTCGGGCTTCATCATGAAATTTATTTGGAATTCCTTCCATAGATTGCCACTTGAGGATACTTTTCTAATGAAAAATCTTACTTTTCAATGGAAGATGTGTGAACTACACCTAAGTTCAAGTACATTCTTCAATTGAAATCAAAGACACGACATATAATTATACATGCTTGCAAAAAACCATGTGGCTCAACAAAAGGAATCATGTCTATGGATGAACTCTTCATGTGTTCATGACGTTCTTCATACCTATTGATATTCATGTTGATTATAACCATCATTGTAATTTAGAGAGCATTCAATTTTGCAAAATTTACCAAGCAAAATTGGTTCATAACATTACTAAAAACTAGAAAAATTGCTTCTCTATTGAGTCATGGAACTCTTTGAGTATTAAAAATCTTCGATATACAATAGAGTACATAGTTCTTAGAAATCTTCTATGGTAGAAATGGTTGGAATACATAAATCTTAGAAATTTTTTGTATTAGAAATCTTTTCTAAATGATCCGCTAAATATTTAGCTAATAACCCAAACATGCAATAAGAATGTATCAATATTATCCACTAAATATTGGTACGCCTACACGAGTGACACCTCTAGAACCAATGTATCTCACTATTGGGAGGTTTAAATGTGAACTCATATTATCGACTCCATCTTTAGTACTCGAACCACCGTGTAAAACTCCAACATGGACACCAGCCATTGTAACGAATTAACACGAGCAATAAATCTGAGTCCACAGATTCACAATAACTCCATCGTCCCAAATGACTGAAGACAAGATTGATTGCGTCTTAAACACCTCGTCCTGATGGATGAGGATGAGAACTGCCAAATTCGGTGCACATGATTCAGAAACAGAAACGCAGGACCAAATGTCATGCACGATGTTGGGATGGAATATGGATGAGAGAGTTGTGTTGAGCTACCATGAATACAATTGCTCAACGGCGACTGTGAAGAAGCTTTGAGCCTCGATGCGAAGGGATTCACATCGATCGAAGGCAATGGGACAGGTCATGCTGCGGCTGACAAAACTTTGCGGCGAAACATTCTCGAAACGATGATGATTGCGGGCGGAGGAGGGCCCTGAGGGTGGGCCACGCTGGTTCTGCATAATATATAGAGTGCCGGATTTGCGATTGGAGCAGCAGCAAGATACTGGATCGGCTTTTGCGAATGAAATTTGAGTGGTTCCGTGGCCGATTCCAATTTTGACAATGTACTTGTGCGGAAGTCAACCGGCCGCCATAACAGCTGTGGCTTGATGATTCGATGGAGATTGGGAGCTTGAAAGGAAGCAGAATAGAAGAATAGCGAGACAGCATGCCCCGGACCGAGTCAGGACAATGACATCGATGATCCCAAAGCTTGCGAATTCTTGAGTGCGTTAGATCGAAGGACCTTTTGCAGCTCCAAAAAGCCATCGAAGGTGGAGGAGAAAGCAGAATCGGTGCCAAGTCTGCACCGATTTCGAAAAGATGAAGTTCTTTTGCTGACTTTGATTTCTGAAGGGCACCACGAAGCAGCAGCAGCAGATGGACTTTTCTTCGCATCTTCTCGAGCACCAGTCTATGTGCCTGCCTTGGACCCGGGCGGGACCCTGCAGGATGTGAAGCGTGATCTCCATCGTCAAGCTGACACTCACAGAAAACAGCAGCCACCAGCACCAAGAACTACCGTAGCTACAGCTCTGGCCTTGTACTTGCAAGTGTGTGATGGAAGTGCATCTCCAGATCGTTGTCTGCTGTTTACTTCTCGTCTCGGTCTGTCAACTGGGCCAAGGCCAAAGCAATGTGCGATGTGGGACGGCACTGCATGTAGAATTCTCTCGCCATGAGCTTTCTGGATCGTGTCGTCACTAATCGTGATTTCCACCCACCTCCTCCATGGCGGCATGTAGATCGACCCTCGACAAACATACGCTGTTCGTTGCCGGTTCTCTACGCCATCTCGGAAAGACACCGAAATTTCAAGAACGTGTTGGGCGACAAGGGATGAATGTCGTCGAGTCAAAGTCCATGGATTTGGGCCGCTGACCTCGTATTCTACTGCATCCACTTTTGGGACAGAGCGATCGATCTTGCAAGCTCATGATTTCATGGCTGGGTCGTCACGATTGAGTAACAGAAGAATCCTCCTGACTGTCAACTATTTTGGTGGCCGAGTTCATGATGCATGCATGCAGCTTCCGGGCCCTCCTTGCACTTCTCATATTCTCTGTTCACAGCGTCATGGCTGAATCACCAGACGTAATGGTGGCAATCTGCGCCATGCACGTTTGTCTGGTGACATGGAGGAGATGGAGGAGATGGCGTGACTGTGTAAGACGCTAGCCAACTTTTCTGCATTTGTTGTGAAAAGATGGCCATGTCGAGCTTCCGCCTTGCCAACCGGAAATGCGTATGCAGGACGATCGATTCTGAGATGAACCGTCCCACCTCTCGAGCGTGTGAGTCATGACAGAAACTCTCGGCCCGTGCTGTTGCCTCGATACAGCGAGATATGAACTACACAACCTACTTCCTGCAGCAGCTGATTTGCATCATCGTGATTCGCATTCAATTCCAGGACCACAAGTGCCCTGCGCCTCGATCATGACATATGCTAGCGCACAACACAACCAACCGACGCACAGAATCCATACATCAGAGTACAGTTGGAGACCAATCGAGGCAATAGACGTGGGGACTCGGGTGATGTTGTAAGATGTTGGCAAGAGTATCAACTTTATCTCTGAGATGAGGTAGATCAGATCCTTACGGATGTAGCTACACGGAACAAATGAATCGGACCAGTAAATTTCTATTTACAGATCTGTTGTGCACATATGCGCACGAGTGTGCAAGCCTTGTCGCTTCGTCTTCGTCTGCGGCTTCGTGTTCGTGTTCGTGATCGTCTAGTTTCGAATTGCGTTCGAAGTCCTGATTGTATTCCGACAAAAGAATCCTCCTACTTCGATTGGAAGCTTGGTTCCTCCGAAAATATTGGCTGGACTCATCATGTCATCATCACCATGACCACGGGCTCCGTGCCATGCGACCATCATCATCACCACCGCCACCACCACCTCCGTGCCGGGCCATGAAACGATGGGTCCGAGCTCCGAGACTAATCAATTTTTAGTTTTGATAATGGAGCAAGCTATGGCTTTCCTTTCTGCTCCCAAGCTCCCTCCAGACCACTCGCCCGCTATCCCCAAGAGACAAGACCTCGTTCGTCATTGCTTCTTCTTCTCTTCGCTTGACAAATTGAATGATCGATCGATCGAACGAATGCGTGAGTGATCTCGATCCCCGACGAGGGACGAAACACCTCCCGGCAAAGTGTCGGAGACAGCGTTGCTCTCAATACACACAACACGGCCAAGAAGCAAGGGATGAAATGAATGACGGAGGGAGTGAGCGAGTGACTGCGTGGGCATGTGATCGGATCGAAGAGAATGGCGTGAGTGAGGGAGGGAGGGAGTGAGTGATGGGGATAGGTGGTCGAGCGACGAAGGGGGCGGGAGGGGCGGGAGGGGCTAGAGCGAGGATTGGGATTGGGGCTCGGGCTGGAGGAAGCGCACGGGCGAGCAGAGAGTGAGGAACTCGGGGTCGTCCTTGAGGCGGTTGAGGCACGAGGCGCGGATCTGGATGAGCGCCGTCTTGTTGGCCTCGTGGTGGGGGCCGGGCAGGATGACGAGCCCGTCGAAGAGGCGGCGCGGCGCCGGGTTGGTGAGCGCGAAGCTGGGCTTGCCCCAGCCGAAGTCGAGGCCGTAGAGTGGCGCAAAGGTCCAGAGCGTGGCGGCCACGTAGTGCTCGAGCGAGAGGCCCTGCTCGTGGCGCGCGGACGAGAGGCGCTGCGCCTCGACCCAGTCGATCAGCGACTGGAAGAACTCGGCGCAGCTGATCTCGGCCAGCGCGCTCTGGATCAGCTGCGCGACGCTGGCCAGCGTGCCGCCCATCAGATGCTCCTCGGTGCTGCGGGCGCAGGCGCAGCCGACCACGTTGCCGAAGAAGCCCGCCGGCAGGTTCAGGAAGCTGCGCCCCTCCACGAACATGAAGAGGCGGCTGGCGTTGTCCGCGTCGTCGGGCTCCTCGGCGCGACGCGCCTTGGCCAGCAGGCGCCACAGCTGCGCCAGGATGCTGCTGTCCGCGGCCGCGACGGCCAGGTTCAGCGACACCTCCACGCCCGAGCCGCGCCCCTCGCGGTCGCGGTCGCGGTCGATCTTCTGCTGCAGCTCCACCGCGCGCTCGTACGACAGGTCGAAGGCGCGCAGCACCGCCGGCGGGTCCTCCGCCCGCTCCGTGGCCGCGCGCGCCACCCGCGCCAGCCTGGCCCACCGCTCCGCCAGCGTTATGTCCAGCTCGTCGCGCGGCTGCACCAGGTGGCGGCTGTGCACTGGCCGCAGCGACGGCTGCGTCCTCCCGCTCGCCAGCTCGGCCCAGCTCTTGAGGAAGTGGCACCCCGAGTATATGTCCGCCACCGTGTGGTGCCAATTCACCGCCACCACCACGTTCTCGCACGCGAAGTGCGTCACCTGCGCAGGCCCGTCCCACTCCGTTCATCACCGGCTCAGACAGTTCTCCTCCCCCTCCCCTCCCCTCCCTTCCCCCATCCTCTGCCCCCACGCGCGACACCGAGAGCCCTCTCGATGTCGGGGGCGCGCGACCCAGCAGGCGCAGCGCAATCCGCTCAAGCGCTTGTGGTTGCGCCTCGGGCGCATCCCTCGTTTGCAAGCCACCGAGGGGACGAGAGAAATCTCCCGATCCCTCCCGAGGCCTGCATCGCGACATCGCGTGGTGGCACGGGAGATGAATCTCCCGATGCTCGACCGAGGCGCCTCGTCGGAATTCGACTCATCCGAGATCGGTCGATTCTCCGACCGGGATGCGGAACGCAGGATCCAGTGATGAGGGTCGCACTCGTGGTTCGAGTGTGAATGGCGAGAGCGGGAGAGGAGGGGGCGCAACAAGACCGAGTCTTCTGCGGAAATAAATTTCACGAGGGAGACCAGACCGCCACAGAGAGAGTGAAGGAATCAGCGCAGATTTCTGGAATGTAATCTACACCTTCTTTCGAGGGCAATTGCGTCGACCTGGAGGAATCTTGCCCCTGCCCCTGCCCCTGCCACTCACTAGCCTGAATTAAGGACTCACCCACGGACGACTCCTCGGGCGCAATCGTTGGCAGACCAGACAGCAAGAAGAGTGTGTGAGGGGTGAGGGGGGGTGTGTGTACCTGAATAACTAGCGCAGGAATTTGCATTTCCCTGGAAGGAACATAAAGGGGCCCTGGTCCGATATCTGCGACGTCCATGCCCGATAACGCGCTCATGTGACTGGCCAATTCCACATTATTCAGAGGCTGGTTGGCGCAGGCCTCGGAGAAAATGGCACCGGCTCCGTTGCAATGAAGGTTGACGAGCCCATCGTCTTGAACTCCTAATCGCCCGGCCATGGGGTAGAAGTCGACCAGCACCCTGGCCAGCGAGTACTTGAGCGTCTGTAACACCTCGGCGTAACTGCGTTTCTCTGCCCCGGAAATGCCATACACCAGCAGCACTCGGACGTACGTCGGCATCACTACTCGATCTAAATTCGACAGAGGCAGCCAGTGTTCCCTAATCGGTTTGGCCGGCACCACCAGCGACGTGCGAGCCACACTCACGTCCATTATTCCGACTGCCTCTACTTGTGCACAATTCTTGCGCCTCTCGTGTGAATTTCCTGGCCTCTGCTTCCGTCGGGCAAGAGATTTTCCCTCCCCGAGCCCTGATTTGATTTATGTCAGGATTTCGAACCAGCGCTGCTCTCTCTGTGCACCCCGAATAGCCTCACCACTTCGAATGGGGTCGCAGTTCGGTCGCCCGAATCAATCAATCAATCCACCAATCGGTCGGTGAATCAGGCAGGCGAGCAGGTGGTCGTGTAGCAGTAGCAGCACGAGTGCCTTCTCTTCTCGCCCTCGGTTAAAGTCGACCGAGAGCGAGCGCGATGCGATGGCTATGGTCCCACGCTGCTCCTACCACCTCTCTCACATACCCACCACCAGCCCCAGCCCCAGCCCCAGCTCTTCTACCGACCGAATCGATGACTCATGAACCTCACCCACCGTGTGACCGTGTGCGTCCGGCCTCACCTCAAATCGCTATTAACTCCTGGCGCCCGAGCAACCTATCTCGCCTGCTCGCCCCCGCACTCACTCCCATGCTAGTCACAGGAAGCGAGTGGGAGAGCAGCAGAGCACGAGAGCAGTGGAGTGATGTGGAGTGAAGAGGAGTGAAGAGGAGGAGACAAGCGAGCAAGCAAAGAATTTCAGATGGATCTGCTGCTCGTTTCTAAAACTAGCCACACAACTGCCGCTGCTGGAGCCTCTGCTGGTGCTTCTCCTGCGTGCGATGGTGTGCGATGGTGTGCGATGGTGCTGATGGCGGTCTGGCTATGAACTTGCAGGTCCCACATGTGTGCGTCAATATCTTCCGCTCGCTCGCTCGATTGCTTGCTTGCTTGTTTGTTGCTGGCGGACGAGGACACGAGGAGAAAAGGAAAAGTCTTCCGGCGTTTTAATAGCTAAGATTCCATTGCCCTCCCTCCCACTCCACGAGAGCTCTTATAAAATAGTGCAGCGTCCGCGAGTGCTACCAATCAAATCTATTCGCTTCTCTCTCCTTCTCTCTTCTTCTGCTCTCTAAACATCTGCTCGCCCCTGCCCTCGCTCGCCGTCCGTTGCTGTGTCCCTTTTGTTTTCTCTTTTTTTTTTTCCTGCCTCCTTCCGTTCGCTGTTGGTCACGACGACGGAGTCGTCCCGATGCTCCTCCTCCTCCTCGACCGTGTGGACTTTTTTCAACACGACAAACGAAGCAGGAGCTGGGTTTGAAGAATCGGTCGTCGCCCCTCAGCCCCCCGACACTCTGCAACGCATGGATAGAGAGATGGATAGATAGGACGAAGAGAGAATCAAAGAAAGATGGTAAGAAGGCAGCGAGAGGAGGGAGAGGAGGCAGGCAGGGACGAAGGAAAGGAGGAAAAGAAGGGAAGGAAGCAGAGACGATGCTGCTGCTGCTGCTTTGGACATTCACTGCCGGTGCAGCCAGCAGCTGGGAAATCCCAGGGCCCACTTCCACTGTGCCGGTGATTGCTCAACAGATCGGCCTCCTCACCAATCCAGTCACCAGACTGAAGGAGTCCACGGGGCTGCCTCCTTCTTCCAGATCTGCACCGAGAGCTGCAACAGCACAGCCCAAGTCACATGACATATCCCAGGAGGCCAGAGGCTGCATCCACTTTAAGTCGCGAGTCAACGGCGCCGGGCCAGCTTCCAGTCGAGCAGCTCTCACAGAAAGCAACCATCAGTCACACCAAGTAGCAGCTGCTGGATGGCTCGGTTCAGTTCAGTCGGTGTGCATACGCAATGGAGCCCCGATCTGATGTCAGCCGCGGAATTCTGTAAGTAATAATGAGGCCGTCGAGGGCAGCAGAGAAGAAGCAGAAGCAGAAGAAGAAGAAGAAGCATAGATTCTTCAGGCTTGGCAGATCCGTGGGCCTGGTGTTCCCAAAAGCCAGTCAGGCGTGTGTCTTCTTCAGTTTGCAGCCGCACTGTACACGCAGAATACGAAGGAAACAGTCAAAAGACATTCCTGCCTTTACGTTCATATCTTGGCTAGTCCTAAGAGCCCTCATTCTATTACTACACTAGTTTCGATATTGTCCCACCTCGATATTTTGAGTAACTGTAACTATAGTTGGGCACTGGAGCACTCAAACGCATTTATGAGCATTGAGTTTTCTTGCATGTAGAGCATTCTTAACAATGTCTCATATTCTTGCACCCTTGGAAATCTTAGTGATATTTACTTTCTTGCTGTCTTCGTGTACCTCGGCGTCTTGTCTCTATTACTTCTATGGCTTCTCACAATAATCAAACACTAGTCTACGATCCGCCCGCAGATTTTTGGCAATGATAACCCTATAACATGAATACCTAATAGCTTAGAATAGAGCTCTTATGTTTAATACTTTGACAAGGTGAGTTTGTTGTGCTTTCACCTCTTTAGCCAATGATTGTTAAGGTATAGTTAATGTAAGATTCCAAACGACTCAAACTTTTGATAATTTTACTTTAGAGCTTTATTTTTAATGTGAAGGCGTCAAAATTGTAACTCCTAGTATTTTTTGGACATTCATCTTCATCGCAACCGCTATGAAGATGTATGATGTTGATACACATCATGTAGTACACACATCCTGAACCCTTATTCTCTCAGTGCTAGTAGGGTCCAAGGGTTCTATGTTACAGTACCTATACACAACGCTTGGCAAAGATGTAGATGTTTTTCTTCTAATATTGATCCACATGTGGTATTTGGTATAGTACATACAGTATTGGTGGTCATCCCTACTTTGTTACTCCTTCCATAGTGACAGTCAAGCAGGTGACCAGAGATGTGACTCAAATATATACATCGAAGAGGATATCGTGTGTACTTTGTTGAATCCCACAATATCATCTCATACATACACGCTCACAATTGATACATCCTTACTTATACTACGAGGGTGCAGTCTTAAGAATGTTGACCTGATTATACATGAACTCTGTTCAACTTGCACAAGCAACTATCTCGACATGACGGCCTTGCGCCTGGGTTTGGTAAATCCATGCAGCTTTCTTATTCCTTTTGTGAATATGCTTCCACTGTCAATGTAGGCCATATAAATTGTTCACTAAATTTATATGGATGTACGTATAAACTAATATTCGCTATCATACGAGGAAATAAAGTCCTGACATTGGTATGTATTCCTGACAATGAGGTAAGAACCATAACAGTTTCAACATTAACATCGTGAGAATCTCACAATTTGTGTATACGCATTTGATACAATTTCTCGAAGTTACTAACAACAGTCAACGTGTAGAAACGCAATAGCCAACATTGTCCAATGTGCAGTTGGAAATATGGATTGTCACAACAAAAGTCAACAAGTTAGCGAGGGAATCAAATTCTTCATCAAATTCTTACCGTGCTAGACAATTTTCGCCATTCGAAGAGAAATGGCAATCTAAAACCCAAGCTAGGTGGTGGCGCCAAGGACCACATGCTCTGGGAGCTGATTCACGAGCCTGCTCTCTCGGTTCCCTCGAGTAGTAGGACTCGATGAGGACGACTTGCCCTACTTTTGCGTGTCGTTCTTTTTGTTTGGTTCTCGATTCTCCCTTTGGCAGATCACAGATCACAGGTCACAGGTCAGAGCTCAGAGCTCAGAGTAGGCCCATTTGCATTTGCAGGCTTGGCTTTTTCCACAGCTACCACCGCGTCGAGACCCTGGAAAAGCAGACGCACCGTGGACCTAGACCGTGGACGGCCATAGCCTTTCTGCTGCACCCGCACCCGACCGCTTTGGAGGGCGCATGGGGCAGGAAACACGGGACGCCAGCGAGTGCAGTGCGGTCATGGTTATAATGCCCGCCGTGTCCATGCAGCCCAGCTCGCTCGCAGTAGGAGTGATGACGGTGTGCCCCGGCCTGGATCAGGCGCTCTGATCAAAATCTGACACAAGCAGCAGCAGTAATCTGGGCTCACTATTGAGAGCTGGAGGGAGATATGGAGGAGTAGGTGATCTTTTGGGCTCGATTCCTCCACGTTCAGTCCACATGGCAGAAAAGTGTCAACGAGCACTGTGTCTGGGAATCGACGACGACCAGCCGCTGCCCTCGTTGGCTACAAGCATGATGAACAAATGATTTTGGTGAGGCGAAAGTCGCCGAATCGGCCAATTCGAGATCCCAGATCTAGACTTGGCACCGCGACTTTGATCCTTGGCGCCGCTAAGGCGGTCGGTAGGTTCGTGCCAGGACCTTCTCAAGCGCGCAGGTTGACTCGATCTCTTGCTCTGTGGCGGGGGCTGCATCCATGGCCGGACCGTTTGGTCAGGCCAAGTCGTGCTGCTGCTCGCCCAATCCCCATGTGAGCTATCGGATGTGGCCCCGGATTCAAGAAGGCGCAATCTCGTCAACGAAGAGTCGTTCGTAGGCCAGCTGACACAGAGCCCGAGCTCGGGTCGCGCTCTGTGTCAGCTGCACGGATTGCCCTCGTTGCGTCCCGAGTCTCGATCGAGCCGAAGCATGCTCCGTGGGTTCTCAAAGCGCTTCGATTCAGGTCCACAATTTCTGTTTGCCTGTGTCGAGACACTCGACCTCCGAATCGTGTCCGGTGATTGTTGGAGAGTGGGAAATTGGACAGCTCATATGGTCCAGCGCAGGCGCCCTGACTCACAGGAAGGTGTCGATGCCAGCCTGTGGGTAGGCAAGGCATGAAGTCAGTGCTCAGGCCTTCTCTGGATGTTCTGATCGTATTCAAGTGCGGCTTACGATGTGACATCCATCTGACCCGACGACTGAGAGATGCGTGAAATTATTGGCCCGTGCGTCCGCCAGCAGAACATCGATGAACTCGCGTGTAACGCATCTGAGCTCGACAGCTTTCTGTGTCCGGGTGAGGGTGAGGGTGAGGATGAGGTTGCAAGCACTAGAGACGGATGCGAGTAGCCTGCTGCCTGACCGACTGCCATACTCTCGTCATATCAAATAATTGTCGGTAGCTGAGTCGAGTTCAAGTTGCTCCCTACCTACTCTGCTCGTGGAGCTCGAACTCGAAGAGTTCCGCAAGCATCTGACGAGACGAGGGCACATTGCATTGCATCCCTTTGTGAGATCGAGGGGCCTGAACTGAAAGGAATGCGAGCTATCATCACTCGGTTTCGAGAATAGGACGAATCAGGCTGCCCAGCTGACGCTGGGCTCTGCGCAGTATGTGCTCCCATGGACGCCCTTTCCATACCATCATTTCTGAATCTGTATTGACATCCACAACAGTTCTCTGCATATTTTTTCCTCCCAATTTTTCTCCACTTGTCGTCGTTGCGTAATTGTTCCAAGCACATCCTTCATGTCATTCCAAAGTAGTAACCCCAGGATCCGAGTGTGATACAGAGAGAGAGAGAGCTCCAGCAATCACAGAAACTCAAAAGTACAGCATCTGCACTATGATGGTACCCTTCCAGAATACTGGTCACGAAATTCAGAATGAGATAGCTATAACGACGCAGCCTGTGAGGTTTTGGCAGATGACGTTTACATCTGGCTCTCTCTCGTCACCACTTGGGGGGGGGGGGGGGGGGGGGGGGGCGCTGGTTGATGTACCAAATTGCCCTTATTATTATTGCCCTCACCAGACCCGTCACCAATCCTGCACTTTATTATACGTACGTCTGCATATTTTGGCTCGAATGGGTACGGACAATGCAGAGGATGCAGAAGGACGCTGTCTCCCCTTCCAGAAGAAAGAGAGAGAGAGTATTGTACAGTTTATAGTGCAGAGAGGGTCCGACGAATGAGATTCACGCCTCTGGAACTGATTTTGGAAAATGTAGCTCTGTAGGTTCACTGAAGATAGTGACAAGTGGCTTGTCCTCGTCGGAGTATTTGCTTGCCGTGAATCCTTGCTACGCCTTGTGTCGACGACTATTGCTCCAGACTTTGCTGCTCCACTGTACCGCACTGCTGGTTGACTATGCAAGGGAGCTGATGGGTCGTGTCGAAACTGGATTCTGGATTCTGGGCACACGATGATGCTTAGAATCAGTTGTACTCTGATTCTGAGCAGAAGGTACAACGTACAGAAAGAAACGCAACCATGGCATGTCATACACGAGGCCGCGGAGTAGACGAGAGTCTCGACCATCGATGATCCTACAGGAGTTTGGTGGATAACTTGCTTTCCGGCGCAGAGATGGACCCTGCAGAAACATAGGATCACTTTTCTGGGAGTGAGTTGCTTTTACACTCTTTGGCCCCAGATTGCTCAAATTGCATGAAAGCAAAAAATCTTGTGAATCCGTTCCTTGGAGGAAGCTATCTTCAGGTGAATCCAGCACTCGGCCCCTTCACATCCTCGTGACCCTATGCAAGATTCTTGTGACTATGACTGTTGCTTTTGCCTCGCAGCACATTTCTTCAGCCTCAAGAAACCTGCTAGGGCAGCGTAGGATACAGTTGCTGATTTTCAAGCCGAAGAAAATTGGGATGCAGAGATTCTTTGCACGAAACACGAGTCGGATTCAAGTAATACAGAAGTCAGGACAAACTGTCGATCGACATATATCAACTAATCCCATGCACACAACAATATGCATCTGGATCGTAACGGGAATTTCCTTCACAAGGCCTCAATTCTGATTCATCACCTTGAGCTCCATTGAATGAAGACGAAAAAGGTTCTGTAGCTATGGTACAGACTGTGGGTACGATTTCTAGCGCTTGAATCTTGAATCCTGATCCATAGCACACAGTTTCTCGGTACACCATAAAGTATCAGTAGGTCCAATTGCTCCAAGAAATAAAGAAGCGTGGATCTCATAGTTCATCATACTCTCAAATGATGCACGAAGATACGAATTATGTCTCGCTTCTGAAACCATCTGCAATCAACTGCGCAGAGCAAAGTTCACTCACGGAGGTCTTTGCAACGAGATTAACGAGGAAATAATGGACAAGCTTCTGATGGCCTTTGACAAATTTCTGCTCGATTCCGATTCCAAACCTTTGTGCCGCACGCGGGCCCCATACTCATCCAGATTCTGTGAGTACAGATGTCTGACTTTGCCACGGGTTGATCGTCAGCAACATCACTCTCGAATTCCGACCAGGAGTCAGTTCAGTTTGTGCATTCTCGCATTTGCCCATCTTCTCTTTCGGTTCCAGTGAGATCGTTAGCTTATCAGCAGGCAGGGCTCGTGGACATTCTTGCCTTCTTCATGAGCTCAGTCAGTACATTCGGTTTATTCAGTTCTGACAGTTGACCAGGACACAGGGAGGCAGAACTTCCCTCTCGAAACCTCGCGTTCCTTGCAGCTGCATTCCGTGCCCTGATGCTGTAAAGGAGGACTGACATAGTGCCTCTTTTGGACTGAGTGCTTCCTTTGTCTCGAAGGGCATTGACAAACTATTCGTGTGAGAGGTCAGAAATACATCGCACTCCCGAATCTGCCACTGCCCTGACCATGATGTGCAGATATGTTGGAAACTGGTTTGGCCCATTCCTCCTCCACGCAAATCCTTGTCTTGACGTGCTTCCGAGTTGATCCACTTCAGAGTGGAATCACGAATCGAAAGACCGTCGAGCTCGCTTTGATGTGACTGGGATGGAAAGAAAAGGATGCCACCGATTCTCTACAAATAAATCCTTTGCAGTCATTTGAGTGAGCTCTTCAAACTCTCTCCCACGAGGATCCGATCTGATCTTGGATCGCAGCATTATCCCCGAGGAACATGAGCAAATGAATTGCATGCTTCAGTTTCATGGGATCTCCAATGGTGCATTGATGCGGCATGAGTTGTGGACCTGCTCAGATCCGCCAGATTCCAAATTCCCAAGTAGTTCATGGTTTGGGATCCGGATCGCGGCACTGACTGCCTGAAAGCACAACAGTATCGGTCTGGAGGGCCAGGCTGCAGTGTCTGGCTGGACCCACGCCATGAAAGCTCACGTTGCTCGTTTGCCCTTTGACCACATTGCCCTCCCCTGAAAACCACCTCTGCCAGCTTTGACAAAGTGAGTCGAGGGGCGTCTGATGAACACTCTGCTTCATACATTGATTGATAGATAGAAAGTCGAGCAGGGAAACATGTCTTCAACATAGGGTGTGCAATTCCATCATCTGTTGTTGTTGTTTGAGGTGGTAGCCCATAGAAGATAGGAACCGACTGTTATTCTCACAAACTTGCGATTGGAGACGAAGAAAAAATCTAATTTGCAGAATGACTAATTCATCGTTTCATATAATTTATTGTAGCATTCGGTTTGTGAGAAGGAATATTTCTTAGAAAGCATTATAAATGAAGTGTAGAAGGCATTTGCAGCGAAAACAAAGTACCCACTCAAAATCATTATGGAGAGTTGTCCTTGTTGTAACATAGTCTTGTACATTTAATAAGAAGTCTACAAACTCTGAACAGTATGGGAGCATATTATTAATAAAACTTTTAATATCGAGAGTGCCATATTACTATAATTCTCTGAATGAAGTGGAGTTCATAGAAACTCAAGACGACATGGGATACGTTTACAATACCCAACATTTCTTTCATGTGAGCGGAGATCAAGGATAAGAAATTTCGCATTATAATTCTTGAAAAAATGTAGAGTTTCTTCTAGCAATGAATTTCATCTCCTTGATCGTTACAACAGGAAAAAAAAAATCGAGTTAAAAAATTTCCAGGTTCTGCGCCAACAATTGCCTTGCGTAGAAAAGTTTTGTAGCAAATGTCAGCATTTCTATCAATGACAAGGCCCTCATCAAATTTCATCTTCTGCATCCTCCCAAGTCGGAACTGAAAATGTATCTGCACCTTCTGTTGATGCAAAATTCGGGGTTTATAATCAACCAAGGGAGGAGATGGTGTTACCCCAAATGTCTCCAGATGGGCCGGGCATGGGGATCGCCACGTGGGCATAACTCTCATCTGACTGACCGTCCGATGGATCCATGCAGTCAACTCTCTCTCTCTCTTTCATCGACGGAATCTTACAATTCTGAGCCCTCGACCTCCAACCGATCACGTCGTGGAGAGGCTCGCCACTTCCGGGTTGGGGCCCATGAAGCCTTTGGCACAAGCCAAGATTATAGAGCAGGGGGAATCCAGGTCCATGGCGACATCTGCAAGAGAAGATAAAGTCCTGATGGACCTGGTGGACTTCACAGTGTACGATGAGCTGGACTTTGTGAAGAGAACGAATCTCTGCAGCTGTGGGCCAAAATCTGGATCACGCCTCCGGAATCAAATCGTTGACAGCTTATAATATCTTGTCGGAGAACTCCGCAGCCGGAGCCGAGGCGCTGCTGCAGAAGGACCGTTACGCCTCGACACGAGGTCAACGCCTGAGGATCAGACAACGCTGAATCGTGCAAGTTCCTCAGCCTCTGAGCGCGTCGATTGACATGAATATCTTGCACCCCAATCTACTCAGAGACTACTCCCCCATCCCCACGGACAAGAATTTGTGCGCAGTCTGGTCCGATCACGACAAGCATTCTGTCCTCGGACCTGCCTGCATTTGCACAGGCTCGGACAGAAAGCTTCCACTTGCTGTGAGAGGGTCCATGTCCAGATTCTGAGATGTAAGCAGTGCACGTTTGCTGTCACTCCTTGTCTGCTTCTGAGCCGCAGGAGAGAGCTTGTGCATTTACTGGTCTACAGCGGCTACTTGAAGTTTCGATCGACAAGCCATAGCCAGGTACGTGATCTTCGTCCGGTTTTTATAATACGAAAGCGTCGTCCGGGCTGATTGATTGAATAATATATTGAAATTGATTGAGGTTTGATTTGTGATAGACAGGTCCAGTTGAGCTGGAATCTGGAGAGTGGGTCACGTACAGGGAGAGCGACAGTACAACAGCAAGACACGGGCGGATTGGAGCTTTTGTCGAGGGCTTTTTCGGTGCGGCTTTTCTTGCACAGAATTCATAGATACATGGGCCGATGGATGAAGCTGCTTTCGCTACGGCAATTCTCAGCAGCAATCTTGTCAAACGATGGTCCATAGTGATGGCCTGATGTTCGTGGATAGGATTCATGACTTTCGATACATCATTGTGGCCAGCGGCTGATCCTGCGTTCGGACAGTGGGAATACATCTCACCACACTGGACCACCCAAATCAGGCCCAGATTCGCAGACCCATCGTCTGCTGCAAAGATAGTCCGTTCTCTGCCTGTGGGTGAGAAAACAACAAAACCAAAGCGTTGTAGGGTCGATCTTCCTGGACCGCAATTCTCTGCTGAACTCATGCAGTTGCAGGGCTCACGAGGCTGCAACCTCTACGATCCAATCGTGATGTGATCATAGGAAGGAGACCAAGAGAATCAGTTTAAACCCTTCCTTCCTTTTGCTACAACGATGGATCAATGTAGAAATGGAGACCTCTTCCCTTGTCAAATCATCAAAGTGCCTTGGGTTTCCTCGGCCGGTCTAATGATAATCTGAAGTTCTGCAGCTGCACAACGAAGGCATCATCGAGCACTGAAGATTTGGAGTCTGACAAATTGTCGCTCCAAGTGCCCAACATTCCGATACATAAAACTTGGCTCCCTCTGCCCAATTACAGTTGGTAGCCTTTCACTGATGAGCTTCTGGATCTCATGCTCAGTTACGAACCAACCATTACAGGGATCGCAGGGTTTGTCTTGGTACGCTGGAATTCAGCTGCACTACCCTACCACGTTTCCTGAGGAGTGAGCATCATATCTCTGAGTGGAAAGCTTCACTTTTAAACGAGCAAAGACTAGATGAACTGATCTGGAAAGGGGTGCATGAGGTGCTTAGTAAGTGGGCAAAGCTGCTGAGAGCAAGCTTAGGTGGATGAGGTGGGTCGAGAGCTAGGAACTGGCAGCCCGAGCATTTAAATAAGAACATTTGAAGAATGAAAAGAGGAAGACGTGGTGCGAGAATTCGGGACATCCTGGGCCTGCCAACTCACGACTGCGTCAGAATCGGCTACTGTACTTGCAGAGGCCCATCCTCGTCGTTCTTTCCTTGTCTTCTCTTCTCTTCTCTTCCACGAATCAAATCCCTTCTCATCGACGGACACCGTCGACCACCAGAGATGCAGGGATCGCAGTGAGGAATCTGCACATTCCGATCTGACAACTCGCGAGTAATCAAATCCCGCCTGGACTGTCATCGAGTGTATTCCAGGTGCAGACAGGTCGGCTTTGTCGGCTGAATCTGGGATCTGATCCGATAACAGATCGCAGTTTTGACTGCCATTCGAGGAGTCGGACCGAAGCCATTGAAAAGTTGAGACTCCAATTGACCGGCGAGTGCTTTTGGAGACCATCGTGGACCTCAAACGATGGGACCAGAAATCATCAGAATATCAGAAAGGACTCGTCTGTCGCTCCATCCGCGTTACCGATCAGGCTGATCTCGTCTGAGCTGGAGGACGAAACCATGTGAGACTGTACCCTGTAATACAATTCCATCATTCGTCCATCGACGATGAGCGAAATCCTTCCTGCTTCTGAACTCATCTGCATTGACTCTGAGAGTCCGCTCGAAGCAGCACCAGTGTCCCTGTGAAGGTCAGCGTCAGGTAGGAGAATGCAATCAACCGAAATATTCGGCCGAAATGAATGTTCTTGTATAGTTTCGGCCGAACCTGAGTAGATAATCGGCTGAAAACGTAAATTCGGACCGAGTTTACGGTTCGTTTTCAACCTCGGATAGAGTTGGCAATATTTATGGGCGAGCCGGGTAACAAAACACATTAGCCGAGTCGTGCCCATCCCTACCATGACGGTTCAGATTTTGACGTCCAATGGCTTGTGACAACTGAATAAATACAATCATGGATACAATGTTCATTATAGTCATTTTGATTTCAAAGTGTAAGAAAACCTTCCGATGAAAGTTTTTGTAAACTCAAAGCATTTAAAAGTAGAAGAATTGTGAATAACAATGCAATTTCACTATCATTATCACATTTAGATGAAATGTAAGTCTATGTCATTATTAGTATAAGAGAAAGAACACACGTGTTATACTTAGAATTATAACAATAAAACCGTAGAATGGTTTTATTGATCATAAGTTTACTATGAAATAAAAAATTATATCTTCAATCAAATTCGATGCAGAAATACAGTACAACTTCTTTATATAATGTATGTTTTTGCATATTTTTGTGATATTCCACATGAAATGTAATTTGAAAGTATTAGATATTGTGTAAATAAAATATTGCATAAAGTGAAAACCTCTTTCAACTCATCATTTTTCATTCTAAGCATAAGTAGATTTGTAATCCAATATTTACATTAACCCATTTGATCATGACCTTCATATCCAGAACTAAAAGCAAGCAGTATAATAAAATAATGTTCGATATTTTGTTTACAAAAATGTGCATGTAACGAACTTCTGTATCATAAAAATGTTGACAAAAATGTATAGGTCAATGGACTTCTTTTAACATCAATTCAGCTATTTTCAAGCTAAACCCAAAAATCACATTGATGAATCATAAATTAAATATAATATGTTATGATATCAAATTTAAACTTGTAGATTGACTCAAATTACTTTAAATAATCTGAAAAAAAAACTACAATTCTGTTAAAAAGAAGCAGGCTTCATCAGTGATACCTTTGAAGATCAGCATCATAAGCTTTCCACGCATTTTAGAAGCAACCTACAATATCTTTTATCTAAGAGTTTTAATAGCTAAATAATATATTTATATTTATATATGATGTAATTGAATAAATTTTCATACATCATGCAATATTACATTCATGATCAAAATATTGTATCTTCTAGAGGACGTGAGAATGTATTAAGTGATAACAAACTATGACGGAAACATTCCACCTTCAAATACAATAGCTGCTTAAGATTAGCTTAACTTGCAATAATCAATCTTGTAAGTGTTGAAAATTTACAAATAATATTCTAGTAAAACAAGCTTGGAAAAATTTTTCAAAATCAAATCGAAATGAAAGTTGAAAATGCTTGAAAACAGTTAAACTATTATTGATTGCACACCGGTATATGACAAGATATTGTTGAGCAAAATTTTAGTTAAAAAATGAAATAAGGCAAACATAAAGTTGCTCATGAACTATAGATTGAACAAATCAAGATGTGCATTAGTTACAAAGCTACTCATATAAGATAGGAATTTTAAGCAATTGCTTCTTATTCGCAAGCATATGATGTGCAAGAAGTTCAACATATCTATATTAGATTACTTTTATGCACTTTGAAACTCAGAAGCATGTTACATTAATTAACTTCAATAAATGGATATGACATTTGTGGATTAAAAGAAATTACCGTACATGTGATTTATATGATTCTTGGGGGAGAATTATACGCTCATCACCAAGGTGTTTTTTTAAGTAGTACAAAGACCCTTTTTTTCCAAAGAGTCGAGTGGTTTACTTGACGTCACTCGCTAAACATCCATGCGAATTAAAATAAGGCGAGTGTGGTTTTTACAAAGTACGAACTTCGAAAAAATAAATCCTCGCCAAATAGTCACGCTTTGGAGTAACCACTTGAATGAAGGAAGCCATTTATTATCAGTGAGTGCCAGATTACTTTGTGCCATTGATAATTGTAGATTGCTGGATTGAATTGCAAGCAACCAGTAAACATTCTCATTTTTACATCGGTCATTACTAATATCTACATTCGTCATAAGCAATATTTTCAAAATCATCTTGACTAGCCAATGCACTCGCTTTTTCAACTCTCTGATTCAATTAAAGAGTTTGCATCCTCAAGTCAATCATTGTACATTGAAGAAAAAGTTGCGCGATATAAGTCAAATCTTAAGTAAGAATTTGAATAAAGCATACCTTTGCCTTTCCGATAGGGCTTGAATATTTTAACACCCACTTCGTTCTCAATATTCGAACAAAGCATGGATTTCTCACCGTAATATATGACCCATATCAGTGGAGATCCTCATATCTCTTGGGCCAATTTCCTACGATAAGACTCTTACGGAAAAACCTCTAGACTCAAGACTCACTCCGACGTCCCGAAATGGTAACATTGTAGCTCAAACAATGAACCACTTGCGATATGCCAACAGGTGAAAAGGGATGTGTTGTCGTGACAAAACGTCAACTTTCGAATAAGGAGTGAACATGGAGTTTTGTGATAACTTGACAAGAGTCGCATTGATCAGACACATACGTATACATCACAATACATCACGTCATTGAGGATCGGTTAGATTTGTGATCTCTCCTCAACGGACCATGACATCAATTTCAAACACTTTCACGGACAATGGGGTTGGGACTGAAGGTCTAGTTTGATCCAGCCAGTGTTTATGTACATAACTAAAATTGGACAAGATATTTACTAACATGAATCCGCTATACGTCGTTGATTGACCACCGAGTGATTTTCCACCCCTCTAGTAACTTCACCGGAAGAGGCCGATCCATTCTCACTTATTGCTTCGGATGAATTTGAGAATGGATTTTGCAGAAACAGACTCAATGGAGTGAGAGGCCTTACTAAAGACGACTCTCCTCGGTCTATAATGGCTACCTTTATAGATCAAAATTTATAGACGCGCATTCGACGTTTCACACAATGAAAAAAGGAGTCTTAGGTCTTAGTCCTCCACACAATGACTACATGAGTCATTGTATGGAGGAACTAGACCGAAGGAAGAAAATTACTGGTGGCTTTCTACTTCTGCAATTTAGTGTGCGTTGTCACATTCCGTCCTTTATTCACACGTTATGCCATGCATGCATACATCGGGTTATCAAAAAACCATGACGCTTAGAGAAGTTGTTACATTGTTTACTGCGCTTACTTAACCAACTGAAAGCTGATCTGCCTTGAAAGTACTGATCAAGTCCTGCGTGTTCGAAAAGCTTAGCAATATGAGACCTCAAACGAGAACCTTCATTTGTTTACAATCTCATTGGAGCACAAATTATAGATCACCTACGACAACTGTTTCTAGGTCAGTCAGTTCGTTCAAGAATGCCGTCTGCGCTTCAAAATTCTTCCATGTTAACTTACTCCAAAAAGTGGAATAGACCCTGTTCATAGACATAAACCTAAGACACATTTCCAGCCTAAGACCTGCCTCCATAACTCAGGCACAATCCAGCGCCTGATTGGATTTCCAGAAGAACTCGAGGACGGCCCTTCTCGCACCGAGAAACCCTTGAGAGCTTCATGGACCTACGGTTGTCAATTCTAAATGACACCCGTAGATTACAGCCGGGCAGCAACATTGTACGGGTGTCAGTCTAACTGACACCCGTACATCCAAGCCCGGCAGCAACATTGTAGTATGAATTAAAAGGCCTACGAATCATCCATTTAGCCGATAGTCTATGGAGAGTAAAGTAACTCTAGGAAGAATAAACACCCTGCAAGCTGCCATCGGCGAGGCAATTGTAATCACAACTGCCCAGTCTTCAGATCTATGCCCTCTTGCATTTATCGCGCAAGAGAGTTGCGAGTGGTGGGGTCGCAAACGTGATTGAGTTTACGGGCATGACTTTCCTTGTGGATTTGAGTCCGACATTCGTGCCCGTACCAACAATCGGGCCTACCCGCAGCATCTGGGGGCAGCTCCTGTACAGTATTGAATCGTCCTGGTAAATATGAAGGTGGCGAGGATACAACAAAAATGCACGAAGAAAAACTTAAAGCAACCGTCATTAGGATCCTAGACCGGATTGTTCTTCAAAGAAACAACAGACAGCTTCGAGAACAATACGAGTTCAAATGACTTCTGTGGGTGAAGAAACTAACGGTTTTTGGCACAAAACGTCGGAACTCGTATAAAAGGTGCGCGATGACCTCTTCTGCGCATTTGCTGACAACAAAGATCACAGTCAGCATCAAGACTTGAATGCCACTAAAAATTAAAAAATTTGAAAGTAAAAACATAAACCAACAGAAGAATAAAGTGGAGGGTTCATACTCGCAGACAGCAGAGCATGAGGTGACCCTTTGTTGCATGTGCAAAGCATTTCGAGGCTGACCTGCAACAGAACCATCTGAGAAAATCAATGGAAACACTTCTTAAGTTAACAGCAACCGATTGATACCTCTCGACATTTTGCTGGAGCATGTAAAAGCGAGATAAATATTCTTATTTGAGGTAAAATATACCTGCTTGACCAGTGTCAAGTCTTGGAAGCCAGTCTCTCATTACAGCTTGCAAAGTGAGGCCTTGTTCTGCCATGTACTGTCTTGTGACCTGGACAAGAAAATACGTATCTACTAAGATGGCTTTTTAGCAGCAGAAAACTGATTGCCAGAAAAGAAATTTAAAAAAAAATTCATCGTCCAGGGGACCCAAGCGGGCCATGGGATCATTTTTCTGACATCACCCTCCCAACTGCAAGCATCGGTCACCATGCTACAACCATTGTGATACAGAAGTGACTAAATGAACTAAATGAACACCTTCCACATCTGAACTATGGATCAATAACAACCAATAGTTCTACTCAAGTCACCTCTTGCTCATAGGTATTGCCACTGTACGTCTCAATCGGCATCTCAAGATACTCTCTAGATGCCATCTGCAGAATAACATTGAGAGTTCAATATATTTGTATCTGCATTTAGTACTACATTAAAATGCAGACAAAGGCTAGCAAAAATATACTTTTCTGGCTTAGAATTTGTATCTATAAGATGCAGGCTCCAAATTGGCTATAATAATGTCAGAAACGGCAAGATAATAAACAATGCCCGGTGAGCAGTGGCAACAAAATCGTAGGGAGAGAAAAATGACATGGGACCGGAGTTGCATGCATGGAGTCCAAGTAGGTGAGATCACAGTATCCACCAGGCTCCTAACCAAATGAAACCATTGGTGTTTGCCTCTCACAGATAAAGACCATAGAACCAGGACTTAGCGGTGCTCAGGGACGACGATATCAAGAGGAGAAATATAACATTACCGGCTCGATCTTGAGACAAGTTAAAGGTAGACTAAGAACATGTGACTGTGACTCCCAGTAACTTCTGCAGTATGCCTTCGTACAGACTTGACCTGTCAATGGGAATTCCCGAAGTAAGTCAGAGAAAGAGAAAGAGAAAGTCTGCATTTTTTCCTTATTAGATATCAGGAACGAACGGATTTGCCTCCGTAACTATATTTGACTTCATGCATGTTGATACTTGTTACTAGAGAATTCTCGAGTTTAGGAAACTTACACTTCTGTGCGACATGTTCAAGATCGGGTCTTTCTGGAAATGCACTAGTACAGCCAGAACACGTCAGGTGAGGCTGGTCCGGAGCACACTGAAACCCCCCGAAATCATCTCCTTCTGCATATCATAGTATAGTAACCACCTCAGACATTAAATACAGTATGCTAGTTGAGATCTCAGTCATGGCGGGGATTTCCACATTCGCGGGTCTTTAATATACTATGTGTGAAGACCAAAGATCCGTGCAGTGCTGTGCAGTGCTACTCATAATCAGGTAAGAATAAGATACAAAATAGTGATTTGGCCAGTCCTTCAGCCTCAAAAAGACATGCAGTGTGTATTAACAATGTGTATTTATACCTACGAAATTTCAAGCATTCCAAAATTGACAGACATAAATAGCGAACTTATTTGCAGCATGAAGTGTCAGGATGCTCAATTTATAATATCTTGTGTACCTCCATGCACTGAGCATTGAAAGCATCCACTGTACTCTTCCTCCTCGTCTTCTTCATCATCTTCTTCATCATCTGAACTTAGTACCGTCGATTCTTGCATCTCATCATCAGCCCAGCGGTCTTTTCCGAACTTGAACTACATGTCACAGACGATAGCGTAAGAAAATATTGATCTCAATCCATACATCTGACGATCAGAAATCGTATCGTTACAATATTGTATCTACTAAACCTTTCAAGATGGTGACCACAACCTCCCTTAAATATTCAGACGTACGATCCAAGAGACCATATATCCTTATTTAAATAGCTGACTCATGATCAAACAGAGATGAAAGGTCCTATGCCTCGTTGCTACGAAAGGAAAATATCACTCCCCTGCGACGACGCGGAGACTGAATTCAATCCCATATTGTGAAAAATACTTATAGTGTCATTCATCTTGAAACTCCAAGAACAGAAAGCACTCCCTCCCAGTTCTCGACAATTACACTTTTATTTGATAGCAAAGAGCGGTCTTCGAGTGGAATGATTTGCGGTTTCCAGTAGATATTTCATGCTATGTTACATACATATGTACACAGCCTCAGTGTCTTATTGAAGCGAAATGATTTGCTGCTTATCTGTCTACATTGGACACGCGATGTGCACCTTGAAGGGGAAGAATTGAAGTTCTTTTCACCCTTGGAATGTAAGCCATAACAGTAATATATCTTGGGACAACAGATTTGGGAACACTTTTCACTTCTCGTGTGGGAGTATGTACCGGAGTTCCAGACATAATTCACAACTTCCAAACTGGAACAACCAATGTGAAGGACGAGAAATTTTTAAAAATATTAACAGGTAGGTTAGCTGCACTGTAGCTAGATCCAGCCGTACATAAGAATCAGTATGTTCCCCGAGCTCAAGCAATATTCCTCCAAACCACTTTTTTTGCTTGCCCCTCATGTGATTCGCTGATATTTTCTAGAAGTGAAGATCATCACTGTATTAAGAAGACCGTTTCAAACGGGACGCAATATAAGTCGAATACCTGTGACTCGGAACCAGCTTTGAATAGAGATTTCTTCTCCATTTCCAGGATATGCTCGGGTGAAGGACAAAGATCTGGATCTTCCTTCAATATATCCTGCCAAGTTGCAACGACGAAAAGCGTAAAAGGATGTTACGTGAAGGTCCGCTGTTGCACCTGAAGTTTGCGACAGACATAAACTGATTCTCAAAGTTTTATTGTTCCAGATCCTCCGCTTAGGAGAAGACAATTACAGCTAACAAATAAAACTTAGTGTCTTGAAGTGGAAGTACTAAATCATTACATGCAGTCAGACCTACTAGTCAGAACAAACGCTTCAAAATGTAGGGATGAAGATAAACACACACAGGCTTTAAACCCTTATATGTAAACCTTACTGTGGCACATTTGCATGAGGTTCACAATGAAGAACTATACCTCCACGAGGCCTCTAAGGGTATGATTCCGACTTGCAGATGTGACAGTGCCACGACATTGAGGACACTTGCACTCAGTTCCAATCTTGCGAGATCGTCGATACCAATCAGAAAAGCATGAGTTGCTGTTTCATCAAAACAACACTTTAATGTCAAACAAGTGAAATCTCTTGGTCGCAACTTCTGAACAGATTCGTTATCGGACAACGATTCAACTTATGGACTGGATCTTCGTCAGCAGGTTCGCAAAGACCGCGCACAATGGTGCAGTGATCTACTTTACAATGATGCGAACGAGAAACACTGACTCCAAGATGAGACGCCCATGAAAACAAGAGCAAGAGCTGAAATTGTCTAATGAAAATATAATGGTCACTAACGGTCAGTAGCAATAGGCGTCTCCATTCCTCAACAATCTGTCGATCTGTGCTCGTGAATGACGCAAGTGATACGTACGGGGCCATGATAAGCGAAGAAATGGAAGAAAAAAACACTCAATGATTGCTAGAGTAAATGTGAAGAACGTGAATACATTTTCAGACCGCAATCGGGGTGAGGAATCATACCAGAAGCTATGAAGACAGGGTGTAAGAGATACTACGTCATGCCATACATTTAGACAAATGCTGCACTTGAATGTTTCAAGATTCTCCATCATCTGTAGGAATGCGAAAATTCTAAATTCAGTTTACTACATATCAACAAGAAAACAAGACTGACAGAGTTGATTAGGACAAAAGCTTCCTAATTTCTCAATTTCATGAAATTTCAATTCCGGAAAGCAAACCACTCACAACAGTTCGACGAGGAATTAATCTTTTACGATAATCCATGCCTAAATTAGAAATCAGCCGTAAACTTTGGATGAGGTATCTATATAACCTTCGGCCTCTTTGGACACGGCGCAGTTTCTCCCTCATGCTCAGCCACATCAACAGCAGCTGTGTCTGCTTCAACCTGCGAATGCATAAGATATATAACGCTTACGATCACTACCAATAAATGCATGACAGTGGTATTTCTAACACCTGAACGGCATCTTTTTATGTGATCTAGAAATATTATCTACTGAAGCTTCAACTTTGCTGATTTGCCAGCAACCTCAGAACTCTATATGGCATCAACCAGTGTCAAAAGGTTGAATATGCCAACAAGCGAAGCAGCCAGTAAGTACCTCAGGTCCTCTCTTTTGCTGCCCAAGCTGAACTTTGTTGATAATCTGAAAGATGAAGACCGGACAACCTGCCACATGGCAATCACATTGTAGGCAACTTACCGACTCCGTCTGATGCTCATGTAAAAGACATCTCCTTGACTCTGTTTCCCTTCTCTCTATTTGTTATAGACGCTGACAAGTACCATCTCGACTATCGTGATGTGCATGGTACAAAGCTCATGTCTTTCTGTACCTACTTTAGCAAAAAGAAATCAATTCTGTGATCGTTGTGTGGCAATAAAAATTGAACCGTTGAGGGCTGAGCATCTACAGTAAGATGTTTACTTTCTTGGTTTGTGTAGATACCTGAAGGATGAGGTCCAAGAGCAACTTCGTCACCTTGATGAAGAACTACATGCAGATCTTTCTCAATGGGCTTTCCTTGAACGGTCGTCCCGTTGACACTGCACCCACTGTGAGTCATCAGCTTTAGCTGGCCAACCTTTCAATTGGACCATTGTAGAAGGCAACACTAGAGAGCACGAGAAGATGCATCCAAATGAGTCAAGCATACTGATTTGTTGCACTTCTTTCAAAGAAGAAGTCATGATGAAAGACACTATGGATTCAAGTAATCTGAATAATTTCTCCAACCTTAAATTTTGTATGTAGCATGATCCATTCTCACCACTCCTCCAAATTTTGCAGTGAGCTTTGCTAATGTGCAAGTCTTCTTTACCACTTGCACTTACGACATCTGCTCGACCCACATAGACCTCACTGTTTGCCAGCTCTATGTTTGGAAAGTTTTTGTCGACAGAAACTGTCATAAATCAGCCCAAAATGTAGGGATTTAGCTGTCTCGTGAACTGAGTCTCATCATCGACGGGAAGGTCTAGAACAGGTACAACAAATACCAGATACAATATGCAGATGACAGCGGCAAGAAATAAGCATCAAACAACATCAACAATTATAATTACTCTAAGGAATCATTGTTACACTATAAGCTTAAATCCGAATCACCGTCCGGATAAACACCAGCTACACAACACGTAAAAAGATTGCAATCAACGACTGCGCTCAGCTCAACTTTTTCGCAGAGAAAATACGAAGAATGTTCGCACGGACGATGTACCAATTCACCAAACTGGGTGAAGGTGTGGTATCCAATAGAGAAAGGGACTAACCTAGACGTGCCCATGGAGACTTCAGATCTCCATTATTATCATGAGGCTTGCTGCGATGAGCAAAGGCAGCGAGATCCACATCCGAATACTCCTGAGTATCGGCATCATGCGCACCTGGTTCAGCGGAGCCATTGTTCTCCGTACCCTCTTCGGACGCTGCTGTCATGATGATCTAAGAAGCACCGAGTTGCAAATAAAGCTTCGAAGACAGAACTTTAGAACAGTGGGTCTTGATTTCACATCCTACGTTCCAAAGATTCTCAATTCAAAACCCTCTCGTTGGCAGTACCCTAACTTAGACGTGCCCTGAGTCACTACCCCTTAAAGCATGCAACATGCAAAGCATGTTACAAAATACAGCCCGACTAGTACAGATTCAATCGTTGCCTGCAGGACGACGCGACGATCACTAGATCCCCTGTTGCTCCACCCAATTCGACTACTAATTCTCAATAACCCGTGAAGGAAAAAGACGTAAAGCACTCCCCGCAGCCTTGGTCTTTCACAGGACAGCAAAATCAGAAAATACTTCCAAAAGTCCAATTTCCGTGATCCGATCCTCGCCAAATCACAACTAATTGACGTTGCCGAGTCGGTGAGCTTGCAGAGAACCAATTCCAAAACCCTACGCCATCAACCTTCCATCTCCCAAAGAATCCAGAGCTGGCTTAAGCTCTGGCACGGTAATGCTTCCTACCTGGAACGCGACTCTAGATCTGTGGAATGTATCTAGGTGAAAGTCCCACTGACTGCTGAATCCGGCCGCGTTCTCCTCAATACAACATTGAACATTTTCAGCGTACTGGCGACATCGCCGTATACTGTAGCTTTGCTCGACCAACGAGCTGGGTTTAGACAGGATAGCAGAGCGTCTGGCCAGCAATTCCCAACCAGCCACTTCGACTCGCTTAAGGCTGAAATGCAGGTAGATTTTCGGTACTTGGAGTGGCCAAGTGATTCTCGGTCATAACATGCTCTCGGCGTGCCCTCCACTGCGATTGCGTATCGAGAATTCCCAATACAGCTCCCCACCCGCTCAGCTCGAATCTAGTCTCAACTAAAATGTGGAAGAGCTTCAACTTCTCATGTAACTCCACTTCTTAATTTTACCAATCATTGACGGCAGAACGTGTAACTGCGTTTGAAAAAAAACGAAAAGCTCGCGTTTCCTCTTCCTCTCCCTCTCCCTCTCCCTCTCTCTCTGCCCCTTCCTCCTCTCACAGAGAAGCTCACGCCCTACGCATTTTCACTGATTGGCGCCGAGACCAATCTCGCATCGGCGAAGAAGAATCGACAGCGTTGCTACTCGCGGGCATGCGCTTGTCAATTTCGATCATGACAGACACAGACACACGGACACGGACACGAGCACGAGCACGAGATTTCAAACCCGCGCGAATTTGCGTCCGAATTAACACTTGGGGCCTCGTCCCGCTGCTCTCGCCCTCTCAGAGCGTTCTGTCACGTATGAGTCACTCTCTCTTCCACTGACCGACCTCCTGCTCACTGACGGATGTCCTTCCGCGCAACAGACGAAGAGTGATCCAGAAGCTTCCGTTCCTGCCACTATTTTAGTGCCCTGGGGAATTTGCCATTCTGCTCCCTCATCTCTCGCTCGTTTCCGCATTATTCTGCCCACGGAAGCCGTCGAAATTTAAGTACCATGTTGCCTTTTTGGCGTGCTTACTTGCTTATGGGCTAATGATTGGCTTCCGGGGTTTTATTTCCCACAAGAGGCCAAGTGTTCAAGCAGGTGGGATCTGCAGTCCGCTTTTCGTCCGTGGAAGCGTTCTAGAGCTGCGTCCTAGGCAACCTTCATTTATGGTGTGCACTTTGGGCTATGGCTTGGGCTTTTAATGCCATAGACGCACCTTTCAGCCGATGCGCATTTTCTCTGGCTCCTTCTCTGCTTGCGACTAGTCTTAGGGTTTAGTCTAATCCACGCCCGCCTCACTGCTTAATAGAAATTAAATATTACCCCTTATTCCCACAAAGATGGCCGCCGTTTTCCCGGTCTCGGAGAGACTATGCATCGCTTCCTCAAGCGTCGAATTTTAATGATTTGAATCTTTGGATCTTCTGCAATATAATACATGTTTTGCGGGGCATTATGTTTGATGCTCCTTCCTTGCTCGTATTCCTCGAACTATTTAATTAATAATTTTCAAATGCAAAAAAGTTACATAGTGTCTAATTCTCTGTGAGGAAGGGGTATTTTTAAGGGCTAACCTTGGTATCGCGAGATGAAGTCCACAGATACAATTAATTCTGAATAATGGTTTCTCTGGATCGGCCGGTCCTGTCGCAATTACAAATCATCTGACCTTTGAAAGAGACGATATTATTCGACTTTTTTGTTTCAGTATTGCGAGTACGGGCACGGTACAGCAGGTGGGCGATGGTCAGATTGACCAGGCCCGGTCCCCGAAGGGAACAGTGAGGAATTCCCAGGAACAGACCAGCCAGTGAAGGCGTGACCTGAACCACCCAAGAGCTTATGTAGTTCGCAAAAATTAACCAGAAATTCTTCATTTGGAGCTCATTCTTATTCTCAGCTAGTTCTCAGAATAAAATGCTGTACTTGAATTCTGAAAAGAAAAGGTCATTTCCTCTATTGACTTATTGCCACACACACCAAAATGGAATGAATTAGTAGTTTTGGCTGTAGAAAAGCCAATTTATCCACGAAGTGTACTTTTATTTAGCGCGCCGTTCATGCGGTCCGGTCCCAACCCACAAATTCGAACTCCTTAAATGTACTTTTACGAAGGCTCGACCATTTTCAATTGCCAATTCTTTTATTGGCATTTTACAGTACCAAGTATTTAGCAAAAGGATGTGAAGACCACACAACGTCGTACATATGTGAAACCAATGGGGAAGGATGGGGCTAGGCTGTCTTCATTCCCATCAACTTTCTGTATCTCAATCCATTTTATATTTGACTAGAGCGGGTGCTTTGTACTTTGCAGAGGATAACTTCGCAACAGAGTTCAATAAACCTTTCACAATTCACAGGTTTTGTTGATTGTTCCAACTATTTGTTGAGCAATTTTTTGCTGCACAAGCGTGGGGTTCATCTCACTGTCCAACTCTGCTCCTAACTTATCACGGAACACCCTCTCTTTTATACGTTTGGTGTTGTAAGTAAAAAATACTTGTATTACTATCTGTTTATAAGACAAAAACATATACGATATTGATTAAAAAACATATAATAATAAATTGTCATTCTTTCTATATAATTTAATCTTTTAAAATATATAGGAGAACATCTTGAGAAATCTATGATGCGTTCAATCATAAGCGTAATTTGTATAGTCAACACTAAGTAAGAACGGCAAAAGTGTTGCACTTATTAGGGACTTTTGATTCCCACTAATTAGGGCGATTGTAAAGTTTTGGCGGTCCACAATACTTATGGGCTCGATATTTCTTTAATTTGATTATGACTAAAAAGTTTATCATGATTTATGGTGAGACAACCAAACAAATGAAGACATAACCTCTTGAATTGCACGATAGGTCCAATTAGTTGAAAACTTTTAAAGAAGCTTCTGAGAAAAGTACAATTTTATTTGTTTTCAATTTACTTATCAAATTATACATACAATCATATCAATGTCATGTGAACGGTTAGAGTATCAATCATGAACTTCTCGCAATGCGAGACTCAAATGATTCAAACTCCAATATCCAGGCCTTTCTATGTAGGGCGAATTCCTTATGTTTCGTATCTCGTCAAAATAAGGAACATTTTCAAAACAAAATAAGGAACATACGGAACATGACATAAATCTGTCATGTTTTCTTTAATAAACTTCTAATTTGACGACAGTGTAATATACCTTCAAGAGAAATGGGAGTTATATTGGACCTATGAATATCTTTCTCCCATTTCAAAACTGAAAAATCACTTTCTACCGTTGCAGTATTAGGAAATGGACAAGCTAATTCTCCTACAAATTCCATAAGTCGAGGAAACCTGTTCCTAATATTCGGAGTACTCCAAGCTTCACAAAACTCAGACTGCTCAGTCAACCTACTCAAAGCATTTCGAAGACGATGCTCTCTGTTTACAAAAACCAGAAGCTCTTTGTGTTCTTCCACTATTTTATCTATGTACTCTTGTTCCCGAGAAACTTGAAGACGATCTTGATATTTAAGAACTAACTGAACAATTTCTCGTGTCTTCATAGCTACCAGTTCCTGAGGCAAGCAAGGTGGCAAAATACTAGAAGCTGCCTGGTTCAACTCATCACGAGTAGCTTCTACCTTGCTCAAATTACAAACTGCTTCCAAAAACAGGTTGTCAATTGCATGCAACACTTCACTTTTTGAGTCTGTGTCCATCTCTGCCAATGCTTGGGTAGCAAACAGACCTTGATCTTCGATTAACCCAATCAGATTGGCATGACTAACTTCCCATCTGTCCAAGGTTACAATGTCAAACGCTGGGGATGAATTTAAATCAACCCAACTCGCTCTACACATGCAAAACGCTGTAAGTTAGTAAGCAGATCTTGAAAAACTGACTTTTGGTGTTGCAAAGTAGTTCTTCTTCCTTGTAAACCTTCCACACACTGACTTACATGTCCTGAAAGCTCACTTACAACTGCAACCATAATCCATCAAGATAATGAAGGCATGTCACGAATTCTTTGAGAAACATCACTCTGTTCAAAATAAGCCATGATTTCAGATCTTCTTTTGACCAAAAAAACGAGATACACGTGACATAGAGGCTCAACGAGTAGTAAATAAATTTGGACAAATAGCTTGCATTTCATCTATCAAAATTTTCTGACGTCGTAAAACAAAAATCAGTGAGGTTAGAGTCTTCTGAAATCCACAGCCAGCATTTTAATATATATCTTTTGCATCACAATATCTATATGATGCAGCAAACACCATACACGAATGAAATTTGGTCTAACTACTTCCTGAATACTTGTCACAACTCCAGATAAATGTCCTGTCATATTTGTAGCACCATCAGTTGAACACCCAATTAGTTTGTCTTTCCATAAGGGACAAACTGCATCAAACAACTTGCAAAACATCTCAAACATAGCCAATCCTGTATGTCTACCAGAAAAAGGAAGTGTGATAAGGTGCAGATTTTCAATAGAAGAATTTTGATAAAACCGAATTCGAACATCTATCCAAGAAACTCCCTGTAGGTCACAAGAGGCATCAAAGGCTACAGAAAAAGTCCAGGCCGAGTGTAGTATCTGAGCAATATTTTCAATAGATATGGCGCATGCAGTTCTAACATAAGAAGCAACCAGAGATTCACTACAAAATCCAAGTTTAGGAATATCACAGAACTCTTTCGCATCCTGAACTGCATCAGCAGCCATTGAGAAGGACATTCCTCGTGCAACAAAACGAATTACCAGCTCAAACTGTTTTTTCTGGCTAATTTGAATACAGTAATTCCCATCATCATTTAGTTTAAAGAGTGACATTGCATTTGCTTGAGATTGACCATACAAATCATTTTCATTCCATAGCATGTCTCCTATAATCACATCAACAATTGAACATCTGATTATAAAAGTGCTCATGGCAGACTGATTTTCCATGAAATGACAAATAGTTTCAGCATGTTTAATAGAAACAGCAAAATATTTGTACTTATCTTCAGTCGAAAGCTTCTGATACTTCCTCCACCTCACCTGATGATTGATGCAAAGATGCTGCATGTAGTTGTCTGTCCTGAAAGGAGGCCCCTCAAATGTCCAAGATGTAGAGGATTTTTTAACAAGTTCTTCGCGTTCGAAACATACACAGAATCTACACCTAACTGCCACCACTTCAGAAGTTCTAGCATCACGACTTGCTATACAGAGACCATACTGTAATAGATGTTTTTGCTGGAATGGAGTTTTGCGGAGTCGCTTAGAAGGAGGTTCAATAGACTCCATCAAGATTGGGAAAAAAGTCCAAAACTACTTAGCAAAATACAAATCCAAAAATGTGAAGTTCAGAGTAGAACTTTAGTGCTCACATGTCCTAAAAGGGGCTTCCAAACCCTCACCAAGAACCCAAAAAATGCATCTGCAAAAGCAAAGAGTAACATTTGCTCAGCCGAATCCTTTTCAGCTCTACCAAAATCAGCTCAGCAAAATCAAGGTACCAAAAAAACACTCATACAAGTCGGAAGAAAAGGTACAAACGATGCTAAGATTCCATCACAGGTCATGGAGGAATAGTTTAGTCAACCTACAAGTCACATAGTTTCCACTGCATCACAGTACCATCCACATTTGAAGGGAACGAAATAAAAATCAAAACCTGCCGTTTATGCTCAATTATGACTTCATGCAGGAGTTCAGATTCAGTGCTAGTTTACTGCTGAAAGTCTATTTCATTACACTGCTACTGCACTCGGCAAACATTGGAGAAAGATCAAGATATTCAAATCCAAGCGGTTGGCAACATCCGAAGGCTCGTGCTCAGAATTTTAACTACAACAGAACAAACTTCATGCGCTGAACTGTACAATCGTGTCTTGGGCGATTAGCATGCTTGAAAATGATGGCGGTTCCTCGTTCAGGGCATGGAGTGTGAAACACACAGCATCTAGACTAGCTAGTAGGCAGAAAATTGTTTTTCAGGACATTCTTACTCCTCTGTTCCGCCGTGAGTCTCTTCCCTGTCAACGCAACAGATCCCGTTCGCAGCTAGGCCACAGCATTCAGGTTTTTATAGAGTCACAGATTAACGTTCACGTTCTTCGCAGAGAGTGTCGTCGTTGATGGGGATAAAACGTAACCACTGACGAGTGTTGTCCCGATTATGCATGCACAGAGACTGGCAAGTTTTGCTCGTGACACTCGTTCCCGGACTGTAGAAGATCTTTCACGGCCAGCCAACTTCGACCAAAAGTCGGTCGGGCAGACGTAATAACAGATGAAAGTACACATCCACCACCCTCTTAAGTGGTCAGAATTGGGAGCATGGCTTCTTGCAAGGCTCCCAGAATGGAAGCTTTAGTGTCTGGGAAGCAGGTCATGCCTGGCAACTCCGTGACATCTCCTTCGTGGGTGACAGCGACGGGGAAGGGTAGAAGGTGTCCCGACAAATCTACTGGCTCCTCCTGCGTGTAGTAGTACGCCCACAACTCATCTGCAATGGAGTTGACGGTCTGTACGCACTCCAAAGACTCCGAGCTCAAGAAGCAGTTCTCAAGTCTTCCCATGTGCTCAAACCAAAGAGACATTCTGAAACCGTGCACCTGCTCATGAGGGAAGCCGTCTCTATTCAACAGATGATGCGGCTGGTATGCATCGATGGCGATTTCAGAGTCTCGAGATCCGTTCAATAATCGATGTAAAATCTCGCAGTAAATTAGAACAATCTCAAGATTGCTTCAAATAACTTTTCTACGAGTGTCCACCTAAAAACTTGGTACTGCAAAGCTGAGATTTGAGAGTAGCTCAGTACAACAAGGACTGGAGTTACTCCTTGTAAGTAACTACATTACTCTAGGAAAAAATATGAGGCAACACCTTTCTGCATGGCTTCCATCATAAAAAAATAAACAGTCAACTCTTATCTTGCCCTCCTGATCAGAAGTACCACCGAACTTCGAGATTCAAACAAGCACAAATTGAATTCGTCTGCAAGATTCTCACATACACGTAACTAGAAGAAAGAAATATGGTTACAACCAATTTCTCTCATACTCCCCATCTCCTCTCAACTGCGACAGCACACTCTTCAAGGACATATAGAAAAGCGCGGTTACTTTTACACGTGTACATTTCAAGAGTAAATGGTGCATTCGTGAAGCAAAAAGCTCTCATTTGGCCAATGGATGGCATGCACAATTTAACATCCATGTAGTAAAGCGGATACTTCTTCCTTCAGTAACAAAGGAACTGTTATTACAAACAATTTCGTTCGACACCGTCTCAACAAACAGAGTTCAGGCAAGTTTTGCCTGAACTTCTTCATGGCTTCAACGCAACTTCTTGCATAACAGGCTCGATGATGCTCTAGAGAAAGCCCTACTACAGTCGCCTTCTTCGACTTCTCCTGAGTTTCTTCAATGCTAGCTGCTGTATGTTGCTGGATAACACTATGAGTCTTAAAAAATCAGGAGACATCTCTATATAAATTGTGTGTCATTGCCCAACATTAAATAAAATTCACATGGCGCACAGTTCCACACTGGCTAAGTACACAGAGCAAGACTTAGAAACTCAACCACTTGAACCCCAAGAGGTACTGCGAGGCGAGCTAAAATGCTGCAAGTGCTCTTTGGAGACTGCTTCGGTGGAGTAACGTTGTACACCAGAAATAACCAAAATGACATGTCGATACTACATAACTATTTCTTGCTGGTTAAGGAGAATGGAATAGCTTTTCATCAGATCGAACACTGCTTCATACGTGCTCGAATTTTTTCTCTCTCGACCTTTGTACACCTTGGAACTGCACGAAGAGATGGATTGGGACTTATTTCGCGAAGAGTGCGCGTGGAAAGATTATCGAAACAGGCGTTCGAAACGGTACCTACAGTTTAAGTTTGTTAGTAGTTAGTAGCGCCTCCAAAGTGAACGAAGTCATTTATGGTCCATATACGGAACTTTAAAAAAACGAAATACGAAACTTTGACTCAAAAGTTCCGTATGTGCCGTATATAGAGACTCCTGCCAATATCTTATCAAATCTAAGAGAAGACCGCAATGTATCATTGCTATATCATGAATATGATAATACTTTCTCATTGAAATGATTAATCATCTTCACACTCTATATACAGCTAATGAGTATCTTTCATCTAGTTGATTGTGAAATTAGAACCACAAGTACAATTTACACTACTTTGAATGCGTGGTAATCCTTATCGTTAAATCCATGCGTTTTTACTCTTGGTTATATCCAAAGTAATAATGGTTGCACTTTATTGGCGGAGTAAGATGGCAATTACAGATATCTGTTTTCAACTTATTGAAAGGAGCATATGTACTCACATTGTCATTGTCTCTATCATTATCAAAATCAAATGACCTGTTTTCTATCACCATGGGATTAAGTCATGACCAGGCATGGATATAATAGTCTCCCGCCTAAATTACCTAAATACGTATAATTTAGTCTACTCAAAAAACTTACTTTAGTCTATTCAAAAACATTAATTTAGGCGAATTTAGTCTCACTAAGTTCATTTATGCTAATTTAGTACACTAAAAAGGTAATTTAGATCAATTTAATTTCTAAAAATTTAATTTAGGCTAATTTAGTTAACTAATTTTTTTTTCAAAGTAAAAATATTTTTTTTCTACAAAAATTTCATTAATGTAAAAAAAAATTTAAAAAATCCATCAATTCTACATACGTGTCCACTCTCCATTGCTTATAACATGTACATGCCAAATCGTAACTCCCTTAATTTAGTTGCCTAATCACCATCAAATTTAGGTAATTTAGGCGACCGTATATACAATCGCCTAATACAACCATGCCTGGTCATGACTCATTCTACCACTCCTCGTCCCAAATATTCTACTTCGCGAAACCTTGTTTTGATGTAAAATACACCACTCCCACCACATCATCGGGAATGTTACAAACATGATATAGGAACATAGTCTGCGTAACCTTTCTTATGTGCCATAATACAACCTGGCCACATGTGGAATGCTACAGACGAGATAAGAGCACATTTAATGTTGAAAAGACATAGGAGGAGTTTCAATTCCATGTAGCCTAAAGTCTAATATCAAGCAAATGGACATGTTCATTGTCACTATGCCCAACACAACATTTGCATATCTCAAAACTCTAGAGTTTGTGCATTATCCATATTAACCACAAAATGAATTTTCATATACCTTCTATACAATATTCTCATGCAATGATCCAATTTGATAATCTTAAGAGTAACAGTAATACACACTTTAGTTAATTTGGCACCCATGTTCTCTAATCAGGCTCAACTTTCATGGTTGATGTCTACCCACAATCATGATCCATCTTAAATCTACTTAATGTGGGGGGAAACATTTCTATAAGCTTTTGAACCAGGAAGTGCATCAACTTTAGTGGAGATCATGTACCATCTATTTGAAGTTTGTCATATTATTCTGTCACGTTTTCATGCAGCCATGTGATCCAATCATCTATATTTGTTCCACAATACTTTAAAGGTTTCAAGAGAGTATTACAGTATGTTTTTCATGGCTAGATATTGTGATATACTTCTTCATCTGCCTACTCTTCCATAATAACTCTTCCTTATGATGTATCTGTCCCTTCTAAACAGCTTCTCAGCTCATCACATATGCACAATCTCCTCTTACTCTTTGTGTACGCATTAATACTGATGTATGTCACATTTGAAGTTTCATGTTACTTGACTCACGAAGGTTGAATGGATATGTTTAATTGGTCCTTGTTGCTTAGTATACAACAAAGACCATTAAAAAATTCTCGAGCTCAACATCTTATGTAGTTATAGTAACCAATTGACTGGTTACGATAGAAACACAAATTTTACTATTGAAAACAAAAATGGTGCCAAGTGGATAGCAACCATCTCCAATGATGTAGTGGTAGCTTTTGCTCATGGCAGTGTAGGCTATAAGAAAATAACACAAACAACAGTAAAGGTAATTTTTCATAAACAAACTTGTTCTCACTTATATTCATGACAACGACCTTATACACATTCTTCAGCCCCATTTTTTTTGTGGTTATGTAGCATTTGAAAACATTTCTCGAGCTCGTGAAATTACATATATCTTTTTTGAGAAATCAAATCCTTCAATGTTGCACGAAAGCTAAAAATTATCAAATTACCTAAACTATTGTGACAGCCACTTATTCAATTTCCACATTGTTACAGCATACAATGTTTATAAGTTTTATGGACATATGTGTCAAAAAGATAATTTTTGTCAATAAGATTATGTACATTTCCACATTCAATTTTTTTCTCTCTTGAAACTTGATTGATTTCTTTACTGTCCATTTTGTGATTATGACATCCTTTTCATTCTATTAACATACTTTACGTTTCATTAAAATCAAGTAAATCTTGTCGTTGAGTTTCTTCAGTTGTATTTTTTGCCAAAAATTTGAGAAATATCTGATTTGAATCGGAATTTTTAATGTTTCGAAATTTTGGATTTAGATTTTACACATAGACTATGAAACATAAAAAAAATCTTCTTAAAACATAGAATTCTTCTTGATAAAAATATTTTGACGTTAATCAAACTTGAAGTAATTTTTTTTATCAAATTTTCACACACATATTTTTTTAAAAAAAATTTGCCAAAACATTAAGGATTCACTTTTCACTGCTTATTCAGAATTTAAAAATTGACTGACATTGCAATTTCTGATTTTGATTAGCTCAATCAACATGATTGAGAATGTGATACTTCTTGAATGTATTTTCTCCTGCTAATTTTCATTTGCTTTGTAACAAAGTGTAATGTATTTTTATTATCACAATAAATTTTGATCCCATATTTTACAATTTTATCTCAATAATAAAAGTATCCAACCAACTAATATATCTTCTGTTTTTCTTTTCTTCATGTGTCATGATTTTATAGCTCATTGAATCATACACCTTTGCAACATAGATTTACACTTCATGCATCAAACTCAATATAAATACTTTCCCATTGATTTATTTGTTATGTCTATACTTTGCACATAATTAACATCATTGCATCATAACATGAAACATGTATTTTCTAATAATTATCAATTCAAAGTTCATTTACTTTTAATAACCTTGAAACAACTTCATATCCACTTCAAATTATTTACAAATATTTTCAATCCAAGTTTAACTATATTTGACAAGTACATGTCTATCTTGCCAAAAAGCAAAGTGATGCCCTGCATAATCACTGTCCATTACAATTTCATAAAAATTTAGCAACATAAATTTATTAACAATAACATTAATAAAAATCGAAAATTAAAAAAATGATGCGAAAGTGATTTGAATTATTGCAATTTTGCCATGTAAAACATCAAGCACAAGTTAACTATACTCGTTTTGAATAAGATATTTGGTATCAACATTTATAACAGAAATAAACTTAAATTTATTCAAATTCTATTTTTTAGCAAAAATTTCAGTTGATATTTGCAACTATTAACGTTGATTTGCTCTTTTGTTCAAATAATTATAATATTCTGATGATTTTTTATGATTTTATTTTTATAATTTGACAATGATTTTTTTTTCAAATTTAAATGTTTCTAGGAGATCATAGTTCTTAATATTTATAATGATCGTGAAATAATAATATTAAGGATAAAGTGACAATGAATAGTATTAAACAACACGAATCTAAATAGAAGTTTCAAAATTATTATAGAATATTTTTTCTATATATGTTCCTTATTTGTGATGTATATAAAAAAATATTCATATTAAATATGAAATTTTTACATATAATAATTATTTAAAACATAATAACATTCAATTTTATTGATATTGATTTCTTAAAAATTCAACGTTTTTTACCTTATGGTTTTAATTTAAAAAATTTATATCAATTAAATGATGAAATATATTTCTCATCAAATATTATATAAAATCAATTTGATCAATATTTGAATTTTAAATGCAAAAATTTGAATTTTCAAAATTTTAATATAAGAATCAGTAAACATATGAAATAATAAAATAAAGAAATCAATCAATCAATCATACAAGAACTATTGTAGCAAAGAATCAAATTGTATCTAAAGTATATTTGAACAAATTTTTCACTATTCATTGTATGATTTCATATTCACAATAAAAAAATGAATTAGTCAAGTTATCTTGAGCAATAAAATAGTCATATTTAAAAAGATAAATTTCCCATAAAATTATCAATAATTTTTTTAATATATTTTTAAAATTAAATAGAAATATAATTTAAATTAAATTAAACATAAAATAAGACATATTTTAATTTGTATTCATTGTATATTTATCTATATTTTATAAAAAATACAAAATTTTATTGAGTAAACAAATTTTTGAATCTACCAATTATAACATATGTAATTTTCACACACATATTTTGCTATTAGGGAACTTATAAATAATGGCAGTTCAATATGATTTCTATTTACATTGGTAATCCTGCAAAAAGTGTATATTGAAAATTTTTATATTGGTAATTAAATAATATTTTAATGATAAAAAATTGAGTTTTAATTTTGAAATCATGACATGTGAAATAAACATAAATCATCATTCAAGTACGTGCAAGTAAATTTAAAATCAATTGACATAAAAAAATATTAATGAGTACATTTATAAACATAATAAAAATTTAATAAAAATTCGTTTACATATGTATGAATGAGAGATTTTGATTCATTTTAGATTGTAAATGAAAAATAGAAAGTTATCCTAAATTATTATTTTTGTTAAGAGCTAATTTTTATGTGTCGATAGTTTTTAAGAAAAAAAATTTCATCAATAAATATTTCATTACTGAATTTATTTCATATTTGAAACCTTTTCAAATAGCTTTTTCATTTTGTATTCAAAAATGATATTTTTATAGACTTTAATTATGTCATTCATAGTCTACATATATTTCTCTTCCTCTCTCTCTAAAATTTTAACATCTTGTATTGATTCTATTTTTATATATTTGAATGCATTTTTGAATACATATATTTCATTGCAGAGTCTGTACTACTATTTTTTATAGGGTTTCGTTTGATTGTATGATTATAAGACATTCTATTTGATCATTTAAAACTTGCTATCAAAATTTTTTAATGTTTGGTTTTTGAAATAAATTAGAAAGTCAATGAAACATATCTTTATATTATTTACAAATAGATGAAAATTGTATTATTTTGAAAATTCCACATGGATTTCTACCCAGGTCTAAACAAAAGTTGAACTCATGCTTGGTAATTCCAATAGAAGTCACACTCTGGAATACAACCTCTCTAGATCCGTCCGCTAAGTTTTCTTTAGAATGGGTGAGAAACACAGTTTATTTGTTAAAATCATAGCTTCGACTTTATCTTATGTAGTCCATAATCTAATATATATAAAAAAATATTGATATAATTTCTTCAATGTATGCATTTCAATGTAGAGATGACATTCAGCTAGTGGAGTCCAACTGTAACAAAATCTCCAAGCTTTAAGCGCTGACTATCAACGTAATAACAAGTTGGAAAAATCAAATAAATAGACTTCACTGTTATTTCATTCTGCATTAGGAAGTTTGGAATCAGCTCAAAATAGTGAGATATTTATCCTTAAAGATAACTGTACTCACTTATGTGCTGTTGTCTCATTTCCTGTCTAACCACACCAACTAAATCGTCTGGCCCAGCGGATACCAATTGGATAAGCTCCAAAGAAGTTCATGAATTAGTTGACCGTAATCTCTTGGTGGAGGACATGAGAGACTGGTGAATCGGTTCTTCTACCTGACATAACACCAATTTTGAGATTGTCAGGAGCTCGAGTCATCTACTACACAAACAGAACGCCAAGTTGAATTTATGTAATTCATGACTGATATAATTTATGTGAAATCGAAAATCTTATTTCAGTGTATCGAGTCCTCGGGTGCTTTTACCAACAACATAAGTTTGATTCATGTTCAATTCAGAGCGCCTTCTTTGAATTGTGTCGTATCAATTTGGTCCTAGAAGTGGCACGTATTTTCCATGTCATGTTCATAACATGATTCATTGGTTTATATTACAATGCCAGTTATAAGTAAATAGGATTCCAAGATCAATCTGCCGTGCAACTCTATCCTATCATACTCTCGCTATGCAGTCACGTTGAAAGTACGCACCTTGCTGGCTTTGCGGATGCGATGATGGGATCTGCTTTTCTCCTTATCATTTTTGTCAGTTTCCTGAGATATGCTTTGTCCATTAGAACTCATCGGACATCATGGACATAGTCCATTCTTTTTGTGGCATCATGATACATGTATATGAAGATGTCACATAAGATGGGTTACAGCGAAATATTTTTACTAAGGATACAGATGGTGCATTTACGAATCTAGAGTAAGTATGATTGAGAATATGAACTGATAACAGATTTTCTCACCGGATTTTCAAATTCCGAGTCAGCAAAGACTGCAGTGGTTGGGCAATCTGGCCTTTCATGGTCGCTACATTTATCCTTATCAACATTGGAGACAAGTGCAACATCTGAATTCTCAGTAGGATCAAAAGAGGCATCTTCATTGTCTGCAAATTGTAAACTTCTTCTCACTCCAGATTTCAGTGTAGTCTCGCTCTCAAACGCAGGTTCACAAGGGTTGGAGTCAATCTTAACTACATCATTCTTCCCTTTCCTTCTTATCTCAGAATTTTTCTTGCTGATTCTGACATAATCGGAGTCTTCTCTCTTTGATCTCAGTTCTGGCCAACAACAATAAGAACAGAGAGTCAGACCTCTATAGGCGGGAAATCGCATGTCGAGAAAATATATTTAACTAGCCTTGTAGTTCATCTTTCTTCCTAATTAGCACCATCAAATTCGTAGAGACCAGTCATCGGGTGCAGGTATGTATAATTGCATCAAATATACAGCTAGTCTCATGCGCGGATTTAGTTCATACCATGGGAGTTTAATCTTTCCTCCGAACTGTCATCGGCTGCCGCAATCACGACCTCTTTCACTCCTTCCACTATCTGTCCTTGACAATCAAGTTCTCATCAGATTATCGTAGTAGATAATGGTGTCTTATTTGGATGGGAAATATGTCAATTCCAGGGGAACATGGAGGGTTAAGGGACATAAAGAACATGCATTTTATCTCAAGCAATCAAAATAAAAGATTTCTTCTTCTTTGGTTGTATTTCTGAGCTAAATTTCTGATATAGCCATTTCCAGAACTGGCTGGAACACTTACAGAGTTCACAAATTTATTGCCTTTGTGATCTGAATCATTTCTTAGAAATTGTTGCATGTACAAGCTGCTAGAACCAGTATATCCACAAGCCGTACTTGGTTAAGCTATGCGAATGCAGTAGTTTATTTTCTTGATTTCTTCAAGTGGAACCTTCTAACTCTGGAGTCATATATGGAAAGCAACAGTGGGAGTAACATACCTCCTGTAACTGATACTCGTCATTTTGTACTGGACGGAGGACCCGGCGCCCTTCACATGTCATGGTAAAACCAAAGAAATACAATATTATTGAAATTGTATACAAGTTATAGAAAACTGAATCCGAAAATCCTAGAATTTGCTCTTCGCTTAGGAATTAGATTATTGTACTAGTTCTAGTCTGAAAATGCACTCGTCGAAATCGCATATCCACTGTAGCACAGGGTCACTCCTTTTTCTGCAAAATATTATCTGGTCCCGTACAAACCTTTAATATAACCAATGTTACTAGTACTTCTCTTCACTTTTCAGATCGACTCTTGATTGAAAACCCTTACCAAGTCTGCGGCTAGAGGGGGTTGCCTCTATATAGCCTTCTTTGCCCATTCTCTGCAGGAGCTGGTTACACTTTGAGGGACTCACATTCTCCATCTTATCGATCAGTTGCCGAACTGTGACATGCTTCATCGGAAGAACAACCTTCAGGGCCTGATAAACACACCCAGTTCCCAAGGGGAAATAAGAATAACTGTCTGATTAAAACATAATCTTCAGAAGGACGATACAACTATACCTTCAAATCTTACCAACAGAATCGAAATTTCTATTTGTATTTGTCTTTTCTACTGTTACAAAGTCTAGTCACGAACTATTTCCAGCTTTTTCCTTTGGTAGTCTAGCAATTATTCCAAAAAATCGTCTTGGATAGAAAAACGTCTTAAAGTAGCACTGTTGTATTACTGCTTTACCTTCTCAAACAATGTTTCATTCTCATCATCGTTTGTATCAGTGGCGGCATCATGATCATGTATAGTGGATGAAAGTTGACTTTGACCATGCGCAGGAGGAGAAGTGTTTTGTAGCCCGACATCATCATGATTCTTATCGCTCTGGTATTGCTCCTGCAGTTATAAGTGGACGTCCAAATTTTTTTTAACATCGAACGACTGAACATGTAATCCAGCGATTTGTATTAGATTCCCTTAGAGACCATGAATTGCAAATCAACTACGGATGGCAAAAAGCGAGCATAGAAGCTGCGAATCTTGGTAAAAAAATATATAATCTTTCGGGGTTGAGGGTCTAGCAAACCTCAGACTTGGTGAGTCGGTACTTGCACTGGCCAATTTTTTCAATAAAATGATCCTCCACTAGGCGTCTCAAAATTTCTGGTATTTATATACAATGCACGTATAAAATCATTCAAAGTGTCTGGAAATCGGGTCGTATAGTGGATGTTTCGTGGACCTTTGCTTAAAAGAACTGAACATTTGAGCTCTACTACAAGACCTGCCTTCCAAATCATGGCACTAATTGACACGGCTTACAAGAGGATTTATGTATCAAATGACACAGCATTCTGATTATGGTCTTTCTTATTACAAGCTTTCTGGAATTACAAGCTGAGTGAGAAAGTATTATATTATAGAACTACACCCAGTATCTGGCGATCGGTTTGATGATTTACCTTCCAGCTGTGCCTGCATGCACCGACACAAAAGACCTTTTAATGCTTCCCATACCAAACTGAGATGATCATCTTCGATTGAAAATACTAACATGCAAAGCTCGGTTGCAAATTTAAGCTTTAAGGAAAGGATTGCCTCGATGCATTTCACGACATATAGTACTCTATCTTTCCTCTGCTAAGATGAAAATGCCTTCAATCCAAAACACTTTTGAACTACATCTACGTTAACAATTTTAAGCACCAGCCATGGTACTAGTCTGCGGATTCCAGAATATTGCGTCACGTAAAGTTCTGAAAATGTCACTGAAAGCACTCTACATCAAATTACCATTGGTATTTGAGGGAAGTAAGCAAACACATCAATTTCGTCAAATGTGTTACTTATTTGGATAGTGGCCCATTCTTTGATATCCGTAACAAGAGACATTTCTGACTGAGAGTCACGCGCCATATCTGCAAGAAAAGATTGTTTGATGAACAGAGGTTTATTAAATCGCTGAAACGCTATTGATATCTCATGTATGCTGAGTTTTTACAAAAATATACATGCAACTAAGGAAGTCTTAGGACAAATACGTAATATTCTTGTGCTGTCGCCTTGGAGTTTTTCATCTTCTGTAATGCTGCTATCTTTTCATACATAAAACTGAAGTTGACCCGCAAAGTGTGTAAAATGTGAGTTTGTATATATGAAGATAAATTAAACTCTTTGTCTCATTGACATAGATTTCAAATATATAGCAGACCACTGCAGTTAATTGCATGCATTTGACTGCAGTGATCTGGTTTCACGCAGAGCATGTGCTTTGAAGAGATGAATGTCAAAAATCCCTTGAGGCTCTTTAATTCAAGGATCTTCTGAAATTCCTAGCTTGGACCACACTATGTCTTTTGAAATTAAGTGAGGATAAATCAAGTGATACACAAGGAAAAAGAAGGAGATAAAATAAAAAGTAGTAGCGATATACAGCTCCAAATATTAGAGGTACATACCTTTACCATCAGTAGATGTTACGGTTTTCTGTCCGCAGAGGAGACCATCAATCTACAAGAACGAAAGATTAAGTAATAAAGGTCGACACGTGGTGAAGGTTGCGATAGCAGATTTGATCGATCTATCATCATGATGAACGATTGTAGTTACCAGACTTCTATTTCAAAAGTAATGGGATATTCGAAAGTACCTCCTCAGAACCTAATGCGGGGTTTCTGGAAGTGGTACAGATCATATGATTTTCAGGTATAGATTTATGCAATGTGGAGGGAGCAGCAATTCCATCGGTTGAAGAAGATTTCATGTCATCCTCTTCAGAATCATCCTCACATGGATCAAGTACTGTCCTCACCTGAGAAAATCAAGAGTGAACAGCACCTATACGCTTCAGATTCAACATAGAGCATCAGCTCCAATGTGAAGAATCCAGAAGAAAAAGAAACGGTCACCTTAATGAAAATTATTGATAAGTCCCACATTTTATGTGCATAGTTGTATTATTGGGAACAATGATCAATAATTACTGCCCACACAAGAACAAGTTTTTCAGATGAATTGGTTCTCGACCGGGAAGAAGTGGAGAAGTCCAGTACCTTAAGAGAAACCTCACAGTACTTGCTATTAACACTGCCAGCCTTCATTCTCAGTGGCTTTTTGGCCCAGAGCTTAGTGTCTTCGTACGTGCAGGATCTGAAGAAGGGGGGCTCGTAGGACGCTGGCTGCACGAATCAGAAAGTTTAGTTGCTTATATCTTCACATGGTGAATTTCTGGAATGGCAATTGTATTTGTGAATCACGAGCCTTACTATCACAGTGCTTTCATATGTTTACAAAGAACGGTAGCTATTAACTATAGTATGTTCTTTCAACAAACATTCATTCATCTGTACATCTACAGATGAATAGATGTATATAGATGAATACATGCCGATATAACCAACGAACATGACAATTATAGGGAAGAACTGCACTGACCGTTGTGTCCGCATTGTAGTATAGCTGCATGACTATAGTCCTCTGTTCGTAACCGATTTAAATATGTTCAATGTATAGTCAAAGGAGGTGGAAAAGGCAACACATCACCAGGGCACCCTAAAGCCTAGGAAAAAAATTAAAGCATATGTTCATGGAAGCTGAAACTGAAGAGAAACGACAACAATTATAGGTCTCTATCATCCAACTATATTGACTCCGGACTCCGGAGTCAATATGAAGTGGCCCAAAGCGAGATTAATTGTCTAATTTTATGTCAGTGCAAACTGAAGTGAGAATGTTCGGAAGTGGTCAGCTGGTATCATAGGAGCTTACTTGTTCTGGAACATTATTTAGTGTGCGCATCAACTGAACAAGAGTCCTTATCATTTTGCATGCGGCAGCCCTGTCAATCAATGAAAACAAAATCTCGGTATACCTCCGCACAAAATCTATGTACCATATAACATTCTGGAACAAATGCTTCGTCATCAACATTGTCATGGATATAAGTACAAACTCATTTTGCTCGATATCGTACTTCATTTGAACTGGAGTTATGTCTGCTGAGTTTGTGTTCATCAGATTTCCCTTCCGACCGTGTCCTTTTGACCTCGTGATATCCATCGAGACACGATCCGAGCAAACATCATACTGGAAAGAAACTGCATTAACACCCAAAGTTGTTTAGAAACCCACCGCTATACCTTAATGGGATTGATAGATATATCATGTTAGGAGAGACCACACTAGCTATACTTTCGTGGGGATGTGTGGTTGAGACAAGTTGATACATATATTAGTTTTTACTTAAAGAAGATCCGATCTATATCACTCTTTTCTTCTCTAGGTTCAGCGGAAATCAGGTTTGCGAGGACGTTTCCCCATGACAATGCAATACACTCGTGCTGTCCACCTAGTGTCATGTTTTTAACTCCAAAGGATCCTTTGTGATAATGCTTTTGTGCGTTTAAATGTGTGAATATGGCCGCAGTGTCTTCTATGCACTGCCACTTCGTTGTGGCAGTGCATTCAGGTGGGAAAACACACACGAGAAACATCTGATTTCACGTTGATGGTGACACAGCTAAGTATTTGAACTTTCACATTTTTTATCCACATCGGTACATGTAGGACTTCGAATGATGCTAATTCAGATTTTCTCACATGAAGAGCACGTGAGACTAACGATTCATCTGGGGAGGTACTCTTTGAAAGTAGCTAGACTAACTAAAATTTAATCTGCCCATGATCCTTCTCTTTCATCTTGAACATTGATTGAGGATACCCAATTCCTAATACAAGTGCCGCAGATCAACTTCAACAGTTACATACAAATCCCTGTCAATTTCATCAAAGTTTATCAACCAATGACAAAGCGAAGCGTATTAGGCAAAAACGCAGGTCTCAGTTTTAAAAGCATGAAGGCGCTAGATATGTGCTCGAAGTATATTTGCTGTTATGTGACTTACATACATATTCTTCGATCATAGGACCATCCTCGCCGTCACACAATCTAAAGAAAAGCGTCTCCAGATATTTATTTTGCAATGCATCGTAGACACCTGGACAGTTTGAAGTAAGTTTTCAGTAGAAAAGCAAGTTTTGCCCACACAAGGCTGATTATGTGAACTGATACAGGAAGTCCGGCGGCGAATACTACAAAAAGGTGGAGGCGTCAGATTAGTGCTACCTTTCTCCATCCAGTCAATTAGGCGACGTGACTCCGCATCGAGTGGCATCAGCTTCTTTACTTTCATATCTGTAGTTGTTTCACAAACTTAACGAACGTGTCCGGCAGAAGTATCTAGCAATGTGATTTTGGCAAGCAATATAAGCACTTTCTAGCTTGTTGGTTCTGTTGAGTATCTTCAATTTCACCATCATAATTATTCGGCATTACACGGAAGTGTCAGACACTTCACGTTTGAGGAAAAGGAAAAACGACGATCACATTTGTATACATGCATCAAATCAAACAGACCAAGTGCCGGTAGATGTCGGTCCACAAAGTACTTCTCGGGAAACAAGCCTCTGATGTAGCTTATTTCCGATATCGCGATCCGTATCAAATTCCTGGTCTGCAACCCGACGCAGTACGGTGTTCAAGACTCAGTCTATACAGAATCGATTGGTACACCTAACTAGAGAAAGAACTCATGCATTCTAACCGAAAAAAGCATAATCTTCACAACGAAAACTAAAATTTCGGAGCGTCAATCCGCGTTGCTCGACCAAGACTTTCGGGCGCGGCAGTGGTGTCCTTCATCCTCAGTTCTCGATAACTGAGAAATATCGGACACAACATACTTATGTTCCTGTTATGTCCAATTTCATAAGTTACCTACGAGCCTTGACGACTAAATAAGTGAACTGTTGGCTCCTTTCTGGGCATAGCAGTAGAACACAAGGCATCAAGATCATTACTTTAGGTGGACGGAGGAATTGTCATTCGACCTGAGTACAAAGTCTACTTACCAACTGCATAGATTCTGTTTCGTTTATGACTGTCCTCGGCTTGACGACTTGTGCCAACATTGTGTCCCGTGTCTAGGTATCTACGAAATTATTCAGAGAAGGTCAATTCAACAGCAAGAGAGAAACTTCGATATGATTCAAGATTTTCGACGTTCGTGTCCAACTTTTTTACAGTTGGAGCAAATATCCGAATCAAACGTAATCGAGATTTTTGCATTCCGCAGCATCTCAACGACTGAAGAGCATCAGCTCTGCGCCTACTTTCCGAACTTGAACTTCGTCTCGAAGCTCAAGCAGATGCAAGGTAAGGAAATCAAGTGAAGCAGATAGAAAAGTCCAAATCTCAAACATCAGATGTGGGGCCCAAAGTCACGATCAGAGCAGCACTACCAGCACAGCAAAAGCTCGTCGTCGCGTTCGATCCTGCTAATATCGGAAGACGGCGGCAGAGAAGATGAATCTCAAGAGCCAGCAATGCAGACACTTGTAGCGGGAAACTCGGGCCCCGACTTTCGAATTCTGATTTCAACACAGGCGCCACCCTTGGCGTAGAGATGACGATAGGCGCGCCGACATTTTCCTACGTATCCTCTCGAATGCGGAATACGGAGTACGTATGTGCAGGTTCTATAAAATATGTGCTTTCCTATATCCGATTCCATTCCGGCCTTTATTACTTCCTTCCATTCCGATTTTTTGTCCACTTGGCCCCATTCTTCCTTTATATATTCTGCTGGTGTTTTATGCCTTCTGTTCCTGCTATCCCTGGTTAATAATCAAGAGACAAGTTAGTAAAGCATCGTCTTCACTCCAGTATTAGTAACCCATACGTCCCAGTTCTCTCGTTTCCTCATGCCAACCATTTCGTATCACCGATTCGATAATTATGGAAGAATATCAAAATTGCATAGGTCTGCAGTAAAAACTCTCGCGCATAAGGTTGTTAGTCTATGACTCTGTTTTTTGTCCCATCTCCCCCATTCCTGATCAAGACGTCGAGTACGCGGAAAGTGTTCCAAGATTCCTTCTTCAGAGTACCCAATGCTTGTTGTACATGGGATATACAGTATATCCCATGTACAAAAGTAGTATACCATATACTACTTGTGATCTCCCGCCAAGGATTTTCTTTTGTTCTGGCGTTTCAAAACTCCCGCCATTCACAAGTGTGCTTCACAACTCATTACACTGATACATTTTCTTATTTATGGGTTACATATAGAAGAAGTGGTTGGACAATATTTTGCACTTTTCAAAATATGCCACTCTTAAAGTATGTATAAATCAGAAATAGTAAACTTAAATCGAAATTATTGCAACGTTACATATTTCATAAGAGGTATAGAATTTTTCAATCACTATCGTGTTATTGATGCAGAGCCAGATGCTGCGTTTTATGCTTACTTTAAATTTGTACAGAAGTTTTCCCGTCTATTGATAATGAAACCTAATGGCTTTGTGTTGACAATAATAAAAGATTAAAATATTTACTTAAATCAAGTTTAAAAATAAATAATGAAAGATAGAGGTAAACATAAAACATTATCTTTGCTGATAAAGTAAAGATCTTTGAACAGAATCCTAACTTAATAAATAACAAAAAGTTTAATCTTGAAGCATTTATGTTTCTAATCATCCTAAAATGTATATGAAAAAAAATTGAACTATAAGTATGAGATAAATCTAAATTACAAAAGTAATCCATGCTGAAGAAGAAGATCATGTCAATTTGAATGTGAAATTTTGTACATCCTATTGGAGAACAAATTTGCAGAAAAAAACGGCTCTGAGTATATACAAAAAGGAGAGCGTTACAGATTGTGAAAGATTTGACCACACGTTAACGCATTGAAGTATATGAAAAATATATTGATTACCATTAACACCTTAAGATACAAAGCATATCCCTTCGCAGGTTCTTTATCATCTGCGTGCCTCTCCTCTGAGCTTGAGGCATCTTCTTTACTTGAGGGGCGACCAGCCCACATGGGATTTCGGTAAGGTTGGAGGCACTACAAAATTTTTGCCCATGCCCCTTTTCAATATCAAAAGACATGTCCGTATCACAATATGTATATTTTCAATATATACAGATATGTACGTATAACACGTAAATGTTTATATAATAATTAATTCTTACTAAAACGTAATAATACACAGTTAGTTATAGTTAATGTATATTGTGTGATGCTCTATAACTTATAGAGCATCGTACAGTATACAAAATATATTACGAGATGATCCCCACATGCACTAAACCACTACATGTGATTCTGAGTGCTAGATCACTACATAAGAGAGGTCTACACGTGCAATACAGTAGATTTCGAGTGCTGCTGTAAAATAATTGAGCTTTCTGTGGCTTCTTGCAATTCAAAAACACAAGTTTGAAGCACATGAAGCTAAACCATCACAACCACATTACATACCTCAAAGAAAAAAAAATCATAATTAAACGCAATTGTATGTACGTGAAAGAACAAATTTTATTGTGTACTCAATAATAAAATTCGCATCAAAAAATATATCATTCCCGTAGAACTATCTGTTCGGGTTTGACCTTCAACCCGAACCCAACTCGAAAAACCAGGTGGGATATGGGTTGATTTGGGTAGAACCCGAATCTATCCTGCGGTGGATCCATGATAGTGAAATGACGGCGAGGGAGAATCGGGAAATTCCAGTTTTTAGTATTTTCTTGACTAGGAGTAGATGCGAGGACTTTTCGGGTATTCAGGACGAGCAACGTATGTACCGCAGCGTGGCCAGATAGACGCAAAAGCAAGCGAGCAAGAGAGCGGATGCTTGCATCGCATTGAGCGAGGAGTGCCGCGACCGGAGGTGTGCCAGAAACGAGAGGAGTAGAGTTTCGCAAAACGGAGTGGAAGCCAATGCAGACTACGACGGACCAGGCTTGCATCTGAATTCTTATTGATCGTTGCTTTACTCATGTCAACATAATCACTTGTATATCTCCAATTGTTGCCATCAGCAACCTTCGATGATTTACAGAATGTTACGTTACTGAAACTTAAAAGAGCTTCGCGAGTATGCTATCACGGTCTCGTTGCTTCGGTGAATCACCCGATTGCAACCCCTAATCTCCTTGCCTTATTTTTACAAGAAAATCTATCCCGTAGATCTCGGATAACAAAACATCGTCTCTTTCAAACGCCCGCCCAACTTAATTTTTGGATTTTAGGTCGGGTACAACCCTCTACACGAACCAGATCCGACCCAAACGCGGGTTTTCGGGTTTTACGTGAACCGGATCGGAGCCCTAGGCATAAATGAGAAAGCACAACTTAAAAACCATTCCACATGAATACTAGAGATAGAGTTCCATATAGAGGTTGAAGCTCCACAATACTCTACAGTGAAATGGGTGCCAGAGAGAAGTTTTCATGATCGATTCCTACTTGCGAAGAATATCATAATTTGGTGAAACAAATAACTGGGAATTATATTTAACTACTCATTGTGACTATCTAAAATTAAATTCTGTCTTTTACACGAAAATACCCGACAGATTACACATGAAGAGATAGTCAATTGTTAAAAGGGAAAAAACTCCTCATCCGATGGTTTAAGACCCATCATTGAATCCTATGTAATTAATAAATCCAATTAAAAAGAAAAAAAATGGTAGGAAAAAAAGATAAAATCTATATTCAACGGAAATTTTAAGATTGAGACTAGTCTTACAAGTTTAAAGTAGGAGTAGGCCAGAGAGTTTTAATCATCCTTGAAGTAAATCAGCTATAAATCAATTAATCATCATGGATTATTAATATTAATATCATTAGATTTTGATGAAATGATAATGTTTCATTGAAGCTTAAAATATTCCGATCAAAACTTCAGCAATTGTCAAAACTTTGCTACTATCTTCATTTTGCTTGTGCTCATATCTGAACTTACATTATAGAAAACGTTGGTATTCTTGAATATGCAATAATTAGAAAAAAACCCCAAGTGTGTATATTTAATATTAGGAACCATAAATGCCTGTAAAAATTTACGGACTAGCATATATAACCTGGATGAACCTCTTGTATATTTTGAGGATTTAGCATTAATTCATTATAGTAATCCGTGTATACCTTAATGAAAGTGGGTATTTATATAGCAGTACATATGTCATTACACTTCAGTCTTGGTTCAATGAATCAGAAAACAAGTTGATAATCAAGAGTAGTTGTCGAGTATTAGAGATTTTGATGGAATCCTCTATTCTGAGGACATTGATAACATTGTGGATCTGTCTTTTACCCTAGCCACAGAAAATACATTCATACAATTCATTACAAGACATATCTTACTTGAGTTAAGTTTGCCATATTGGAAAGTTGTTGTGACCGTGGGCATATTTCTCATTGTTTCGAGGATAGTTATGATGTGTCAGGCTTCCAATGCATGTGGTTTGCACATTTCAGTATCTTTGTGTTTGTGGATTTGATGGTTATTCGTAATTCATTACTACTAGAACCCACTAAACACATAGGTTGTGAATTAAAAACAAATCTTCGTGAAAATATTTACATTTGTCACGAAGAACGATAATCACTTCGCTGTGACATATGTAGAAGTTCTTTTGCGTGAGATTCATCGCAATGTTACTTACATTTTTCATTTTTTAAGTTCATACCCTCCAAAACATACATATTCTTTTGCAGAAGTTAATATAGTCATAATTAAATATTTGAATTTTTTTTTCAGGTTAATCTATTTTTAGTATACAGCCCAAGTTCACTAGCTTTTTTTCAGAAAGTAATGAAGAAAATTTTATCTACATTTTAAGCTTATATATTTTTAGCTTTCAATTTTTCAATACAGATCAATAGGCAATGCATGTCGTTTAGTGATAAAAGTTACAGGTCTGCCAAAAAACGTTTGGAACAAGATAATTATATATATTATAATAAATGCTATAGGTTAAACAATATCAGAACTTGTGCACATCATCAAATATATAAAACTGTCCACAGCTTTGTTATAGAAAATTGATAACATCTTTTCCTTTTCAATAGCATCGATTGTACATTGAAATACAAAAAGTTTGAAGTGTGTTGCCAGAAGAGTCCATACTTTTTTAGAGTTATTCATGTTAACATTTTTGGTACTTGCTGGTAAACACACATTGAACGTACTTGCATTGATTCCATCATAGACTCTTCTTCATCAAATTCATATGAATATACAATTTCAATATACTTTGAAACTAATCCAAATACTTCATATCAAATTGATTCAACCATAGTCTCTTCTTCATCAAATTTGTATGAAAATCCATCTCTAATATACTTTAAGACTTATCTAAATATTTCATTTAGAATTGATTCAACTATAGACTTTTTTTTATCATATTTGTATGAATTTTTATTTCTAATATGCTTTGATATTTATACAAATCCTCCATCTTAGATATAGACTTCAGTTGGTTCTTGCATCTATCGACATCATATTGATTCTTTGTCAAGATGAGCATTTCATTCAGGTAAAGTACT